CATCATCACACATTTTTGTCTTGAGAAAAGATAACACTGACACAACACAAAACAAAAACTATTCGATAATAGTAAATTAAAGTCAAATGACATTGGACAATTTATATTTACACCAGAAAACAAGACTGTTCTTGATCTTTAACCAAATTTTATATATATATATATATATATATATATATATATATATATATATATATCCATCTTAATATAAAATGTATAATACCAAATGAATTGTGTGCATAGGTGCTGAATATAACATCAATCAGCTAAGTGACAAATTTTATATTTGTATTAATCATATATATATATATATATATATATATATATATATATGTAAAATGCCAAGGGAAATTACGGAAAAAGTGGAAAGGACTTCACTGGACTAAAGTGATATTTACACTGATATAACTAGACATGCACACGAAGAGGAGGATTTGCTGAAATTTTAAACTTATAAATTTTTATTTCATTTTTAAATATGTGTCCGAGTATATAGTCTAGCCAATTTCATTTAATTTCTTTTCTTTTTCTCTTTTGCATGTGTAAGTCACATCAATACAAACATCGCTTTAGTCTAATAAAGTCCTACAGGCCGAAACACATCACACAAAAATTTTTTTTCCATTGTCATTAATTTTCCTAACATTTTTCTGGTATATGAAAATTTCTATATCATTTTCTCTTATATGAATGTCTAAAACATTTAAACAAATTTAAAAATTAAGGGTTAAGAAACCTGTTGGCAGGTTTAACAAAGGAAATTATTAAGACTTCAAGGCTGGAATGTAAACTGGGAGGGGGAGGGGTAGTAGCAAGAGTAGAAACTCCAGTTCAAAAAGAAACAATATTTATAACCAGACAGAGCACAGGATTGGATGAAGGCTAATAATTGAGGCTGTTGTTGTTGCTGCTGCTGTAGGTCTACAAGTGGGAGGGTGGCAGGAAAGAAAAAAAAAAAAAAGGCGTAGTCAGCAGGTCAAGAGGTCAAACTGGTCCATCTCACCTGGAACTAAAAAAAAAAGTTAAAGAAATTAACAGGTATCTTGTAACAACAAGTGTTATCTTTATTTGCTGATGGAAAAAGAAAAACACAAAAAATAAAACAGGTATCACCATCACATTTTGAGTTAGTGAGATATTTCATCAGGAATTATTTTTTTTCTCCTCTGAAATCAAGATGAAAACTTTCTAGTATTAAAATAATTGAACTATTAAAAGATCTAACAGTATCTGTCTTCTATTTCCTATTACATACATATAAAAAAAAAGAGGAAGACATTTGAATTCTACTTAACATGTTCACTGCTGCATTGGTATATCATTGTTGTCTGGCTATGCTGGCCCATTTTGAAAAATTTACTGGAAATTAATGATTATGAAAAATCCCAATGGCAATTTCTTATGAGTGCCGATATTTTGGCTTTAATCAGATAGGCTGCAGTAGAGATTGTTTTTTTACACTGAAGTTCACCTGCTACAAGGCTCAAGAGTCACTCAAGGTAGTTGGTTACTGAATGAGGTGTGTGATATGAATTTAAGGAGGTAGAAAGAAGTGAAGTTTCTGAGAATAAGGAGAATAGATAACGATCGACCCAGGACGTGAAGAGGTTAAGATTGTAATCTACGCATGAGTTTGTTCCACAATAGTTGTTGGTGTAAAGCTGTTTGAATGGAACTCAACCCCTTACAAATGGAATAAGGAGAAAATGTGATTCAACTCCATGGATGTAGCATCAGCAGATTAAACTAAACAATACCCACAACACACAATAAAATTACACCAGAAGACAGATCATATTGTATGTTACTATATGTCCAAGATGGTTCAGAAATTACAGTGTGTGTGTGTGTGTGTGTGTGTGTGTGTGTGTGTCAACAGCAGTCAATGTAAGTTTTGTAAGTACATCCACAGCAAAAGTCTGAATGGCAAACTACTGTTTGTGACATTGTATCCAGCCATTTTTCTTTTCTTTAATACCATAGGTCACACAATACAAGGCACAAGAGGCACTCAAGATAGGGGGTTACTGAATGAGGGGTGTGATCTGACCATATGAGGAAGAATTAGAAATTAAAATTATGAGGATATGATGGATAGGTAATGATTGACTCTAGATTTGAGTTAAGATTGTAGTGTTAAGAGAAACATCTGTGTGGAAATTTGTTCTACAAAGTAGCTATCAGTTCTTGAGAGGAATCTTTTGGAGTGGAATATTCTTCTTACCAAAGGAGATACATAGGGAATGATGGTGATTCAACCCTGTGGACATAGCAAGGTGGGTCTAGGCTGCAAAGATCTGAGCTAGTGACACTCAAGAATGGAGCTCAACTGAACATTTGTCCTGGATGTAACGATAGGCTTGCAATGTTAAATCTGTGAGAAACGGACTGTAGGGTAGAAAATAATTCATCACCCTCTGTCAAAACTTGGAAAATGACAAATGAGCAGCTCTGGCCCAGATACTCCATGTTTGGTCTAATATGACTCTTGTAAGATAAAGCATGGCAGGATCCTAGCTGTGAAGGTCTGAACTGGTGGAACTAAGGAATTTAATTTCATCTATAGGAAAACGGCTGTAGGGTGGAGAATAATTCATCATCCCCAAGTCTTTTGAACTATCAGGGCTGGAAAGAAATGATTGTGCAGCTTCAATCCTGAGATGACAGCAATACTCCATACTAATCTGACTCTTGTAAAAATAAAACATGGCAGAAGAAATCAGGTGCTTTCTGGAATGATACAAGGAGTCAACTATTTTTCCAACATCTTTCGTGATGGATGGTATATACAAGTTCCACTTGAGGTCTGGGGGTGAACTTGAATCCCAATAAACATTCAAAGCAAGGGGACCCACTGAAAGTGCAACCATTTATCATGACTGCATGGTTTGATTTGTTTCTGCTTAATGCCACTCTCCCTACCAATATAAGGTTATTTAAAGCCAGATAAAGGTTTTGAATCATAGTTGCTTTGGATAGAGCTTGATGTTATATGTGGATCAGTGATAGTTTTTGGTACAGATGGTAAAAGTTTTTTTTTTCAGTTATTAGATATGTTGGTTTCTAATAAAAGTAATTTTGTATTCAGTTTTTGATATAAGTTGGTTGTTAGAGTTTGCATTGTTATTTTTAGTGCGAATCTTTATGAAGTCTAAAGGGATCTTTTTCCTTTTCAGTTTTCAAAATAAAGGAGGTTTTAAATGTAGATTTGTTGAGAGTTTTTATATTTTTATATATAGTTTGATTTCTTTGAAGTTAAGGATATTGTTTGGTTTAGTGTTTCAAACAACTCTTTTTGTATTATTTTATTTTAATATTTTATTTGACAGACATAATGAGAATTTATGAGTATATGTTCAATTGTGAGACATCTGTCGCATAATGGGGAGTTTCATTTTTTAGTATATTTGAGCTTATCAGATATGCATGTCCTATTTGAAGTCTGGATAAAACTATTTCTTGTCTTATTTTTCTTGAACCTGGGAGCCATTCTCTTATACTTGGTTGAAAATTTTGTATTTTTTTTAGTTTTTAAGACACATACTGCTTGCCATTCTCTCTTGATATGTTCTTTTGTCTGTCATGTCTTTAGCTAGTTTGTTTGCTATTTCATTACTATTATGACTTGTATGAGATCACCATCAGCCGCCTTGTTGTATTCTCCTTAATCTCGTCCACAATGTAAAAGTGTCATTCTCTCTTGATATGTTCTTTTGTTTCTGAAGTCTGTAAGGGGCATCTTTATATTGGTTGTTGTCATATGCCTTTAGTTAGTTTGTTTGCTATTTCATTACCCAGTATACCAATGTGACTTGTATGAGATCACCATCAGCCACCTTATTGTACTCTTCTTAATCTTGTCCACAATGTAAAAGCGTCTCCATTTCAATGGCAGTCATCAGAAGTCACAAAAGATCCAAATCTGAACTGTAGCAAGGTAGCCATACCTGGGTATTATTATACTTTGCCAAAATACAATGTAGGAGACTTATTTATATTCTGTTATTATGAAGGCAATAATCATACAGTAGACAATCTCACTAAATGAACATCTCATTGCCAACTGAATAACTCTTCAGAAGACTCTTTGTTCATGCATATACAGTAAGATTTTCTCTAATCAGTTGCCAAGGTGCATCAAGTTCCTGTAGCTAATTATTGATATATTCCAATTAGTTTCATATTTTCCAAATAGATCTTGTTCATTACCTTAGAAAAGGTCAGAAGTCAGATAAGTAAATTTTATGGAAAGAGGGAAGTAATAAATTTTCTCAATAAGCTTAAGGAAATTTAATGATATTCCATCATTTCCTGTAATTCATTATATAAAAGACTGTATAATCTGAGTTATTCCAACCAACAGACATTTACTTAAGCAGCCAAGTATATGTGTTTACATCTACATATGAAATTATTTTTGTGATTTCACTGACAAATTGAGTAATAGTATCTCAACTCAAGGACTATCTTTTCCAGCTTTGCAACTAAATGAATCCACATTTTTCGATATGTGACAGGAGCCCATTTTGTGCTAAAGAAGATTAAGTCTTAAGTCTGATTTCTTGCATCAATCCTAAACACAAGAGAAACTTACAAATGATACATCAGCATACTATATTTACTATTATGATACAAATCTTTATGTTACATAATAATCCAATCTCTTTGTTACTAAAAAAAGATAGTATATAAAGATGGTTTAAACTTGAAACATTAGTTTGTTTTACAACCTAACAAACTTTAGTTGTCAATAGGACTTTTGTAGCCATCCAAATAGGTTTTAATGTAAATTTCTTTTCAAGTTCTATACATAATCATTAGTTTTATTATTATTAATATTAAACTTTGTTAATGTTAATGGATTTGAATGTTCATTCTGAATAATCAAAAACTACCATATCAACAGACAACAGAACTTTGACTTTTCCAAGTTTAACTTTTTCAGATTTCATTATTCAGCAATTTGACATCAATAAATGTGATTTTTTTAGTTTTGCAGCCTATGGAAAAAAAAGCTTAAAGACTAGAAAAATTATAAAGAAGAAAAGGGAGTGAGCAAAGAAGAAAAGGAAAAGAGAGAGAGAGCACAAAGGAAACAAAGCAAAGGAAAAGAGAAAAAAGAAAGCAAAGGAAAAGAGGAAAAAGAAAGCAAAGGAAAAGAGGAAAAAGAAAGCAAAGGAAAAGAGGAAAAAGAAAGCAAAGGAAAAGGAAAGCAAAGGAAAAGAGAAAAAAGAAAGCAAAGGAAAGAGAAAAAAAAAAGCAAAGGAAAAGAGGAAAAGAAAAAAGGAAAAGGAAAAAGAAAGCAAAGGAAAAGAGGAAAAAGAAAGCAAAGGAAAAGAGGAAAAAGAAAGCAAAGGGAAAAGAGGAAAAAAAGAAAGGAAAAGAGGAAAAGGAAAGGAAAAAAAGAAAAAGAAAGCAAAGGAAAAGAGGAAAAAGAAAGCAAAGGAAAAGAGGAAAAAGAAAGCAAAGGAAAAGAGAAAAAAGAAAGCAAAGGAAAAGAGGAAAAAGAAAGCAAAGGAAAAGAGGAAAAAGAAAGCAAAGGAAAAGAGGAAAAAGAAAGCAAAGGAAAAGAGAAAACAAAAAGAGACTGAAGAAGAAAAAAAGTTTTGTCTAACCAAATTTACTCACATGGTATAGTTTTCAGGCATTTTCCAACTTTTTGGATAACATCAATAAGTTACCTCCCCTGACAAATCAACTATGATGAGATTCAAAACCCAGGTTGGAAAGCACTCAGCCATACACCCACTAAAATCCAGTAAAGTCTTGTTAAATTAAGTATTTCTATTCATTCTTATTTCTTGGGACAGCTATTTAATTTTTCCAAAGACGCTTTTTTTGCATAGTTAAAATTTAACTGTTAACACATCTCTTATGATATATTATGGACAACAAAGAAAATTAAAACCTTATTTCAAAAGCATATAGCTGTTTTGACAATGCAAAAAGATTTTTGTATCAGATTGAATTCCCCCCACCCCAAATCTCTTTAATGATACAAGTAAAATGCAGATGAGCAGGTAGTAAATTCAATATCGACACAAAAACGGAATTGTTGAGCTAGTTTGTTGTGTTCACTTTTGCTCAAATGCTCTTGAGAAAAGCATGAACTTATCTCTTCTCTCCCCAGTTATGGGTTAAATAGCAGAGTAGACTGGGCTCTCTAGGCTTGGTGACAAGTATAACTGAATTAAAAACCTTGGAGAAGGCAATGAGGAAAAAAAACTCCATTATCTTTTTTTTTTCAAAAGTCATAGTAATTCACACTTAAAGAAAAGGACTCTATAGAAAGACATGATTTTCTAGGTCCCAAGAATGAATAGTAATTCAGATAATAAAGAAAAGGAATATGTAGAAAGCCATGATCACCTACATCCTGAAGAGACATGGCATTAAAATAATGTTAAATAAAGTCAACAGCCTTAAGAGTTAGCATTGAAAGATAGGGAGGTTAGTGATATATGCGGTCTTGTAAAAATTCTGAATTGCCTTGATAAAGTCTCTCAGAGGACAAAACAAGTCATCTAAGATAAGTTTTCTTTTTGTCTTTATTCATATTGTCCTTTTACAGATATACTCTATCTGAAATTTTTATACTAAGCAGTATCATTATGAAATTAATATAAAAATAATCTCCAAACTTATCCAACAACAAGCAAAATGAATGAAACTATATTTGGGTGCTACTTACGGTTTGAGCAAGTTTGGTTCACATCTGAGATGTCTTGAGTCATTTGTCAATTTTGTTCTCTTTTCTTTCATTAGGAGAATTTTCCATTGTTGTGGATGACTGACCAGCAGTAGATCCACTGGCCTCACTTCAATAAAGGTAAGCAGATACAATTAAGGATTTATTAAACTTGCTGGAAGTGTGGAAAATTATATATATATATATATATATATATAAAAGCTGTACTTAAGTATCAAGAATTCATCCAAACAAGTTTTGTTAAATTCAATTGACAAGGTCTATTTTGTATTATATTTTTCCAATTTCTAAAATATTGGGATTGAAATTATGAATAAATTGTCTAAAGTTTGTATTTCTTTTCTGTTTTGTTCAAGTATTTTTGACTATCTCAGTCATTAACAAGAACTGGGTGTTGTCAGTATGGTAGACAATTTTTTTTTTTTTTTTTTTTTTTTTTAACTAAATCCTGGCATTTTTGATCACTGGAATGCTAATTGGTTCAAAGTGATGTCATCTGTAACAAAATAAGGTAGGTGGGGTGGGGGACTTTGAACAGTTTATTCATTATTTCAATCCCATATACATCATATTTTGGAATTTGAAAATATAATAAAAAATTAAATAGATAGGTCTTGTTGGTCGAATTTAAAAGTTGGATGGATAGATAGACATGCAGACAGAATGACATAGAGGTAATGAGGCAGACAGGCAAAAAGTTAGATAATCAAAACGAGCAATAATTATTTTGAAATAGATTTTAATCACCAATAGTACAATTATTCATAATTACAAAATGACAAAAATACCAAGAGAAATAATAATTATTCAATTTCCTGTGTATAATACGCATCAAATGCATGTATAATACATCAAATAATTCTGAGAAAATAACAAAAATACTATGGAGAAATAATAATTATAATATATCCTCTGTATAATACATATAAAATAAAATTCTGATCAATCCAACATTTCTTAGTATATGCCTAAAACCTATGGAGAAATATAAATTACTCTCTTTCCTGCGAAAATTCGCGTCAAATACATGAATATTTTGTCCAACATATCAATTAAATAGAGAAAAAAAGTTCTTTAATCTTCATATGGTTGAAAAGATATTTAACAAAATGTCATGGGTCCTTACCTATAACTACAGAATGAACTCTTCCTAACACTATGTATACTACACCTCTCAAGAGAGAGGGACGAATCTAGTCAAGCCGATAGTAGTTCACTCCAAACCAGAGTCATACTAACACCTTCCAGATTTTGTATTATTATTTCGTGTAATATACCTTTGTTATTTCTAATCTTGTGTTCATGTTGTTCTTCCTTGGTCCTAACCTGGACCATAACACAAAATAATTTCAACTTTTAAACTAATATGCGTCCCTTAAATTAAATGATGCCAGTGTATAAAGAGTGGGCACTAGTGGAAAGGTTTGCTTACAATAAACAATTCTAAAAAGAAAAGTTATTCAATAAAACTTCAGTAAATATTTTCAACTATACATAAAAAGTAAGGACTTACTTCTCTGAGCTTCCTTGATTGTCATCAAACCTGAGATGACGTTGTGTTCTCTTAGTGTTTGGAGTAACATGGCGTGGCCCAGCAGAAGGTGATTCTTTTTTTTGTGGAGTCTGAAACAAATAAAAAATATATATAAATATAGGCTACAATAAAAGTCCTCAAATTTGTTTAATCTTTGAAAACCCAAGCAAAATCAATGAAAATATTAGGGTCACCTATCATCTGATTTACACTCCTCGGTTTTTTGAACAGGAGTAGAAGATTTATCCTTTGTTTCCTGTTTAGGATTGGTTTCTGATTATTTCTAAATTCTACTTCAACTCAATACTTTTACTGTTTCCACCTAAACTCTGAAATTTATACTATTATTGGGTTACTTCTAAAGGCTTTTTGGTGTTACTTTGGCATGTTATCTACAAGGAAAAAATATGTAGATTGTACAAATTTTAATTTGGATTGATATCTACATAGTAAAACATGGTGCTACTTTAGCTTGTTATTTTTTTACTTGTAGATAACAAGCCAAAGTAGCACTGTTTTTATATGTAGATATCATACCAAATTTGTTACAATTTACAGTGCTACAAAGAAAAATATCTACACCATACAAATTCTAATTTGGAATGATATCTACATAGTAAAACATAGTCCTATTTTGAGTTGGTATCTTTTCCTTGTAGATAATAAGCTAAAGTAGCACTGTTTTTGTTATGGGACCTACCTTTATGGACTAAAATGGACTCGTCCTATTATTATATATATGGGGAGATTATCCCTCTCAAGAGAGCTGTCTACATTTGATGACTTGACTACTGTACTTTGACGTCAGTCAGATGTGCAACACTTTTGTATTCGTTCTTTGTTTAATAATATGTTTTCACTAAATTGCTGAGTTCAAGTTTTCTTTCAGACCTATTCTGGGTCCACAACAGTTTTACTATGTAGATATCATTCAAAATTAAAATTTGTAGTGTAGACATTTCAGTTGATGTACATACTGTTTATCACTAGAATATAAATAAATGAAAATTTTTTAAATATTTTAATTACATTTTCTTTATGTTATATATATATAAGTGTGTGTTATGATATGTTTTACTATATAGATATAATTTCAAAGAGTAGTGTAGTTATTTTATCCTTGTAGATAACAAGCCAAAATAGCACCAACTTTTCCTTCTTTTTTTTATGTTATGGTGTTATTGCTTTGCTAGGGTGTGAATTGATTAAAAATAAATAAATATATCATTACCTATATTATTCAAATATTAGGTTGAGTTTATAAATAATTTCCGTTTTTGTTTATCAACTTTCTTCTTCAAAAATAAAATACAATTACATTTTATTCAATTTTCACCATTATTTGCGATGACTTGTAGCTACACATTACTTTCAAGAAAAATTCTGCAGGTACTGATGTGAGAAGTTTCTGATAAAATCTTGAATCTAGTTTTCATTAGGGAAGGTTTTTTCCCCATCAAACAAAAAAAGGTAACAATTAGTTGGTGCAAGGCCAAGCGAATAGGGTGGATGGCAGTAGAAAAGACCATCTGAATCACAAATGTTTTCCTGTGTTTTTGCTGTATGTTACCTTGCTTTGACAAGCACAGAATGCTTATCAATCAAATTTTTATAGACATGTGGCAGCTGCTGGTCATATAAATGTGCATTTAGTGTATCACTGCATTTTAAGACCCTTAAATGACCCCTTTTTTCCATGGAGCCCAGCTTTTGGAGTTGCTTGTACAGATTTATTATTTTAACTACCATCACACCTCAGCAATGTTTACTGTTTTAAAAAATGGTGTTTAGAATTGTAATAAAACCTAAACATATGATGAAAATGAATTTATACATTTTCTTTGTTCTTGAGAATTTACAATAGAAATTATTAAGCACTATTTATCAGATTGTTTATTTACAAGAATAATTTTATAATTACAGTTCTAAAAACTAATACAATTAAAGCTAATGCAATACAATATTTATTATTTACTAACTTATAAAGAAATAAATATGAATTTTTTTTTATTCACAAACTTAAACATTTACTAAATTCTTAAAATGTGTGAACCAACTATAAGGAAATCACTATTTACCATTTTATATAGTTTGAATTAATTGGCAATTAGTTGACATTTTCCTAACCATTCCAATAAACAATCTAATAGTGTAAATAAACTAATTAACATCATTTATTATTTTTTATGTAAATTCTTAAAACAAAGAAAATATATAAATTCACTTTCGTCCTATGTTTAAGTTTTCTTACAATTCTAATCATTGCTTTTTAAAACAACATTACCAAGGAGTGAAGGTAGTTAAAATAATAGCAGTGTCAAAGGAAAAAGACATCCATTTGACACACCGTTTTTTTGGGGTTTTTTTTGCAGGTACAAAGTTTGCCAGTCTTTGGTCTTCCTGAATTTTCATCATTCTTGAGTCAACATTCAATAGGATTTGAAATGCCTATGTGCCATTCAAAATCCCTGTAACCTTTGTCTCTAAGAAGATTATCCTTTCTTAATACTTTGCTTAGATTGTGGAAGGCATCTTTCCCTATTCCTATGCACTTTCAGATTTCTGTATTTCACTTTACATTATTTCTTACAACATTTACCCAAAGAGTTAAAAATTTTTTGTACAGAGGCATAAAACATTTTTAAGACAATGTTAGAACAACAAAATTACCTCCTTTCCTGGTGTGGTGCTACCACGTGCTGCACTGTGGGCGGGAGACATAGGTGACTTGAATGTGCTTTCAGATCTGCAAATATAATCAACTTATTTATAAATCAACGAAAAAATATAAATACCATATTCTTTAGTATATAAACCACTCTTTTTTACCCACCAAATTTAATATCAGTATCTAATTACACCCTATACACCAAATATATCAAAATATGTTTCATTACCTATAAAAAACCATCTAATTTTTTTATGCAATGTTTTTGAATAATGAAAGAACAAACAAATTTCAGCTAGTTTTTTTTTCATAATTTTGACCCCAATATACAACATACTAATCAAAAAAAAGAAAATGAAGATGGTATAATGTACTGGAGCTCAGAATGAGAAATCAAAGTTCGAATTCAAGTCAGTTTTGTTACATTCATTTATGCACAAATATCTGTGGGGAAGGTATGAATCTATCTCTTCTCCTCAACTATCGGTTAAATAGTAGGGAAAAAATCATTGCTTATTCTAAAAAATTAATGAAATACACACTCGGAAAAAAGAAAAAAATTCTTACGATTCAGATTATGTTTTGGCTTTAAATAACCCACAATGGGTTGACAAGTAGTAAAAAAACAAAAACAGTTCAATACATAATTAAAAAATTGGAAAAAATATTAAAAAAAAAATTAGAGACTTCATTGGTTAGATTTAATGAAATTTGTCTGAATGAATAGAGTTGTGAGTTCTACAGCTGAGGTGAATAAAAACTTGGAGAGTTGAGTTAAAGGGAAATAACTAATACTGAGACATCTGGAAGAGGCATGGCATGTGGAATTAGAATCTAACCCGGTGGACAAAATACAGGGTTAAGTTTGAAATTCCAATCACCTGAAGAAGGCCGGAGCATAGAACGACTGAAACGTCATGAATATGGCAACTGAGATGAGGACAACAAACCAAACAATGTAAATAGTGTAAATATACTATATTTATAGGGTAAAAAGTGCTCAATATTCTCGATAGAATCTGTCTAAATATAAGAAGTGTGGACACTGAAGTCCACACTTTATATACACACACACATGGTATGCACAAGTCATGTGTAAATATATTTAAATATACAGGTATAGTTTAGTTTATTTGAATGTATTTTTTATATCAATACTATAGAGTTCAAATGTCTAATGTGCTTGACTAATCAGAGTGATTAATGCAATTACCATTGTTAATTACCTAATAAGTACTTTCAATGCAGTCTGATATGCACTTATTTCAGATACATCACCAAAAGCCTAAATACTGTATCTTAGGCCCAGGAAGTAAAATATTTTGATATTTTGAGCTCTTTTTGTGTTTAAAACAATATACATCAATTTTTAAATTATCAGATTGAACTTTTGTTCAATATAAGTCTTTCAACATTCCAAAACTGTCTTTGAATTATGGGTGTGTCTCATATTCTGAAAAAATACAGAACTTCCCACACCCTCTTAAAAAAACTCTTTCCATCCAATCAGACATTCAAGATTCTATACCATTATATTTTAAGTTAACAGACTCAAATTCCCAGTTATTGCATTGAATAGATTAGTTTGGCATAAAAGATCATTCAGTGCTTATCAATAGAACAAGATTTAATGTCATATAATATCTTTATCATTGACATTTACTATTACAGTAGTACAGAATCAAACAATGTACAAATACTTGTCTCTTAAAAATTAGCCTAGTACATACTCTAACTTCGTATCTTCTATGTGCTGCATCTCTTCGGGATGTAGGTGATCATGGCTCTCCACAATTTCCTGTCCTTTGTAGCTCTTAATAAATTGTCTTTTTGTTATCTCTCATAAACCTTATTCTGCCTCCATACACTAGGTAAGCTACACATTGTTTTCCTCTGTCCCTCTTGTCTTTAATATGCCCTGTGAGTATCAAATTTTCCAAGCCCACTTTCCTCATTATGGGCACTAGAAATTTCAACTCTCTTCCTGATGTTAAGTGTCTATTTCATTTCCATTTTCCCTAAAACTGTTGTTGCTCACATGTTTAATCCATGGTATTCTCAGCATCCTTCTGTAGAACCACATTTCTGTTGATTCAAGTCTCTTCTGCAACTTGTGATGAGATTGTCTAGCATTCATTGGCATAGACGAGGACTGATATTACATAACAGTTCAGTACTCTTTTCTTTGTTTCTAACAAAATTTTTCAGTTTATACTATGCTTAGGTTTTGGAAGGCATTTTTCGCTATCCCAATGGGCCTTTGGATTTCAGTGTTGCACTTTCCATCTTCTGTTAATACACTTTCCAGATAGTTAAACAGTTGTACTCGTTTGATTTTGGTATCTCCAATTTGTGATTTGCAAGTTGGGCTGTTCCTTTTGCTAACAACCATGCATTCTGTCTTCTTGCAATTGAGGTTTATTTTTTCAGCTTTTATTGGTAATGGTAACATTGGTATTTTCTTATAAGGAAACATTTGGCATTCAATGATCAAGCAGTCAGTTGAAATTTATAAAATCTCTTTATTAAAACAATATTTCTAGAAAATAGTTTTCTTAAGTCTACTAATTGTTGATGCTCTTTCCAGTATTGATGGAGGAGGGGTTCTTTCTAACCTTTTGTTTAGGGTAGCATGGAATCCTAACATCTTTATTATTATTCTCTCAAGTTACATATGCTAGCCATTTTAGTTGTTGCTGCTGTTGGTAGTCCTCAAATGATGTGGTTTTTGTTATCTAGCATAGTTCTTGGTCATTCTGTAACATCAATCTACAAGGTTCAAAGAATCAGGGTCCTCAATGAGACAAACACTTCAATTGCTCAAAGTCACTTTTAACCATCAGTTTGAGAAAGCAATTGAATACAGCTGACAGTTTAGATATTTCTGAATAAGTCTGGCACCATGTACAACATTCACAGGGCCAGATTAAAACCTGTTTATGCCCTAAGCACAGTACCACATTGGTGCCCCAGACTTTCCACTGGCTGCTGGTATATTGAATTATCCCATAATACCTTACTCAAATTTTTGTAGTTCCCCTTTGCAACTTGGTGCCCTAAGCACATGCTTAGTCTGCCTGATGGTTAATTGAGGCCTGAGAATTCATATGAAAGTCTCAAAATGACAAGATGATTTAAGAACAAGCAAGTTTTTAAGCAGTTTTGATTTTGTAGCAACTCGTGGTGTTGGGTGAAACTATCCTTAGTGCAGCCAACAGCTGTGTTCAATTTCCTTATATCCTATACTAAATTTGTTATAACTGATTAGTCTTTATCAAGAATATTAATGTTACAGTTACAACAAAGTAAAGTTTTAATTTCATCCTGGGATTTTTTTTTTTTTTTTTATTTCAGAGAAGTTATAATTTTAATTTAAAATGTACTGAATGCAGGTGATAGCATATACTGAACAGTTTTCGACTGAGACAAAAAACAAACAAAAAACAAACAAGACAAAAGAACATGATAAAACAAAAAAATTAGACAAAACAAGAGAAACAAAAAACGAGGAGAGAAACAAAAAACGAGGAGACAAAACAAGAGAAACAAAAATCGAGGAGACAAAACAAGAGAAACAAAAATCGAGGAGACAAAACAAGAGAAACAAAAATCGAGGAGACAAAACAAGAGAAACAAAAATCGAGGAGACAAAACAAGAGAAACAAAAATCGAGGAGACAAAACAAGAGAAACAAAAATCGAGGAGACAAAACAAGAGAAACAAAAATCGAGGAGACAAAACAAGAGAAACAAAAAAACGAGGAGACAAAACCAACAAAAGGAAATAAAAAGAAAAACACCAGACAAAAAGAGACAAGAAAGACACAAAAAAATCATGAGACAAAATAGATGATACAAGAAACAAAAACATAATACAAAACAGAAAAAGCCAAATAAGAAGCAAAAACTCACTGAGATGTGCTACTGTCAGGACCATCAAATTTGAGACATTTCACAGCATTCCTTCTTGCACAATTATCCAAGCTGTCAAATTGAAGACGTTTTTGACAATTGGGCACACAAGATTGAGCAACACTGTCATTGATACTGCGAAGTTTTTCTGCAGACTAGAAAAAAAAAAAATTCCAATTACACAAATGAAAACATAACAAGGCAGACATTTAATTATAGATAATTTTTTCTGCATGTATCTATCATGCTCAGAATATAACATATTACAAGTGAACTGACATTTTATTAGAGGTGGATCTTGGATGGCAACTGGTCAACTGCAGAAAGAAATGGCAACCTACTGCAGGGAAAAAATCTGCCTTGTCAGTCATGTATCAAATGATACATGATCGCCTAAGCATGTATCACACATGGCTCAGAAGTGTCAGGACATTCAGAAAGAACGAAGTTGAAGACAATCTTCCAAAAATTTTGGTGGAAGAAAATAAACAGATTTCTTTAAAAATGTCATTTAAAATTTATCTTACTGTTGCCATCAAATAGTTTTTGATAAATAGTATTTAAATAAATTTAACTTACATTTGTTTTTATATCCTTTCTGGTAAAATATAATTAATTTCTGAACTCACTAATATAACACATGACAACCACTTTTTTCTTTAGATTTGGTGTTTTTGGAACACTAAATGGAAAGTCATTTTTTAGAATTATTACATCAGTCAGTTATGTGCCATGCGTGATACACACTTAGGCGATCATGTATCTTTTGATACACGACTGACAAGGCAGATTTTTTTTCCACAGTAGGTTGCCACTTCTTTCTGTGGTAGACCAGTTGCCATCCAAGGCTATAGAACCCAGTCTGTCCTGCTATTTACCCATAGCTGGGCAGGGGGAGAAGAAGATTCATACCTTTCCCAAGGGTATTAGTACGTAAGTGAATGTAATGGATTTGATTGGAATTCGAACTTGGTTCTCCGATTCTTCAATTGGAGTCACTAGCAATTATTCCACCGTGCCTCCTTATTATATAGTTTCTTTATATTCTGAATAAAATTTTCCATAGAATAACCTATTCTGTGAGTAATATATGCATTAATTCTTGACTGCTGACAATCCCTTTTGTACTGGTTTTCAAGGTATATCTAATCATTAATACACAAGAGTATGCTGAAAACTTCTTGGTGTGAACAAGAAGAGATTCCTGCACTAAATTTTGATGTTTAGTCAGATTAAGAAGTAATTCAGACAGAGAACCTTTGTGTCTCCACTTTATATATACAGATGCATCACAATTAGAATATTATGGAAGAGTTCAATAGTTTTTGTCAGTTATTTAAAAAAAAAAAAAAATAATGAAAATTGTATATATTCTCAATTTGTTACATGGAAACTAAAATGTTTCAAGCAATTTTTATTAATTTTGATAATTATGGCCTACATATAAAAATAAAAAATAGAAATATTAAAATATTCCATTCTGAGTTTGACTAAATCACTGTTTATGCAATATAAATATCATGAAACTTAGTTTTTTTTTTCAGTACAAGAACCACAATCAAATGTTGAGTCATCAGCCTTCTATGTAAGGTATGAATCCATCTCCACCCCTTAGCTACAGGTTAAATAGTAGGACGTGTACCTGTAAAAATCATTGATTATTTTCGGAAATTTTTAATGCAATATTCACTAAAAAAAATTTACAAAATCTATATAGGGTTGGTAAACCATAAAAAAAAATTCAAATTACAGAGTACTGTATCAAAGTTTATTTATGGAAAGTTGGCCGGAGGGGAAAAGTATTGCAGGAAATAGTACACAGGCAAGACGGATGACTGCAGCCTTGAGAGGATTTTCAAGAAAATCCGATTCAAGAATTTGAAGGAGCTTCACAAGAAGTAGATTGAGAGGCTGGAGTCAATGCATCAATAACCATGCAAAGATATGTCCAGAAACAAGCTATAAGTGCTACATTTCTAGTGTCAAGCCAGAGACAACATTAGAAGCATTTTATCTGAGTAAAGAAGAAAAAAAAAAAAATGTACCGTTTCTCAGCAGCCCAAAGCTCACTTTTCAAATGAAAGTAAATTTTTCATTTCATTTGCTAATGCTATAAGTAACCAGTCTGTTTACTAGTCAACTAGCCTGACTCGAATTCTATAGACAATTTATGGGGTATTGTCATGAGGAAAAGGAGACATCAGACTCAACATTAGAGAAGCCAAAGGCTGCTATAAACAAACATTGGCTTTTATAACACCTGATTAGTGCCACAAACTGCTTGTCTGCATGCCATACCAATATTGATGTAGTATTTTATGCAGATGGATTAAGGGTATAAATAAACATACTTTTGGAAAGTTCAACATTCTCTATTATAAAATCCTTTATTCATTGATCTTGTAAAAAAAAAAAAAATTTAATATTTCGAGATAGTGAATTTTGATTTTCAGGAACTCTAATCATCAAAATTAAAACAATACAGGCTTAACATATTTCACTTTACGTGTAATAAATTCAAAATATATGAACATTTCCCTTTCTGAATTAAAGGAAAAAAAAAAAATTCCCATAATATTCTAATACTCTGAGATGCACTTATATCTATAATATATATGTAAAATGACTACAACAACAATGATGGCAATCAAGGACCAATAAGATCAATTCTAAGCATTTCAAGGACTCATTTAACAGAAAGGGACCAAGGAGAGAGACTTGAGAACATCTGCATTGATCTCATGGGTTTCAGAAGACTGGCCATTGACAATGATATTCATGGACCTATCTGAGAGAAAGGATTTGATAATTGCAAAATCTGAGATGCAATAACTGGAGAGTTTGTATAGCAATTCTCTATGTCAAAAGGCTTTGAGATATGTAAAGCAGTGGCTCTCATGATGAAGCCATCATCATCTGCTCCACTGATTTTGTGCATAATGACAGTTAAACATCAGCAGTGGATCTAAAGAAATGAAACCTATACTGCTTGTTGCTCAGGAAGTTGTTGGCAAGTCCTGAAAGTTAATAAGTTTTAAAGATACCATCTTAAACTTTGAAAAACAGTAATTTTGCAACGATAAACATATGAAAGAAAATAAATTAAATTCTTTATAAATTGAAAGCAATTTATATAGCAAACATATCTTGTTACATGTATGCAAATATCAATCACTTACCCCAATTCCTTCTCCAAAACAATACAATTGAGAGGTTCTTGGTGTAAGCTGACTTTGTGATTTGAAAATGGGACTTTTTACTGAAGAAACATGGAGGTTCTTTTTGCCAGCAACACTGAAGAGAAAATACAAACAAATTACAAATTCATCACTACAAATGTGTACTGAAAAGGAATTCAGTTTTAAAAAAATATGAAAACAGGTGTACTTTTATTTATCTGCTATCATTTTATACTTTTATTTATCTGCTAACATATTTGCTTATTTTAAATTTGAGTAATATCAATACAAAAGGGAATAAGAAATAAAATGTACTTTTATAAATAATATCTGAAAAATAACACAAGAAAAATTAAATAAAAAGCTTAACCGTAGTACCTTGTCTATCGTTTTTAATGAAACATGCATAAAGGAAGGATTGCTGCCTAAATATACAACTATTTATATATATATATATATATATATATATATATATATATATATAAATGATAAAACAAGATAAAATATGAAAGCGTTAAATTTACAAACTTTTAATATTTGTTTCTTATTCTTCTATTTTGTCACATTTTAATCCACACACACGTGTGTTTGTGTGGCTGATATGCATATAACTGCATCCATGGTTTCTATCATCTCTAAATGTGATTCCCACAAAGCATGTGGTGTTGATAGCATCCCTGCAATAGTCTTTAAGAAATGTGCTCCTGAACTGGCTCCTGTTCTCTCTAAACTATACAATAAATGCCTTGCTGCTTCTTGCTTTCGAGCTTGTTGGAGATCCTCTTCTGTACATTCAACCTTTAAAGAACCTTATGGTTACATCTAGCCAAAAATTGTAAAATGGAGACCTAGCTGCCAATCTAGTACTGCCCTTAAATTCATAAAGTCTAGGTACCATAGAAAAAAGTTCATCAGAACAATTACTATGACAATATTTATAGAAAAGATACAAAGAAGATATGTTATGGCAGTTGGAAATTGACTGAAGTCAAAATACCAGGTGAGGACCAATAACATTGTAGATTTTTCCTTATATTTTATCAATAATCTCTAAATGCATAGCAGAAGCATCAGACCAGATGTGACAGCAATATTCAATGCATTGACAAGTGGTAGACTTCCTCTTGAAAATGTTGGTGCTAAAATGTAAGCATCATATTCAGTTGAAACATTTTTTGAAAATGTTTGGAAAATCCTTACAAAAATCTATGAAAGTGACAATGATTTGTTTAATGGTGCATCAACTCCTTAGGGATCATTTAATGCTGAAATTGAATTTTCTTGGGACCTATGAAGTAATAAAAATATGATATACATTCTGCTTTCACAATTGAATACATGGTAGATGATACTCAGCTTTTATGCACATACATATTCATGTGAACATAACTACTAGAGGCAGTGATATGTGTGTTTTATGTTATTGTTTTGTTGAAGTTATATTTTGGAATACAGTTTCATTTCTTTAAAAAATTGTAGGATATTATATGGATTAATGCCATGAAAGATTTCTTTCATGTTCACTGATTTTGTTTGGCAGCATATCAACCTCTATAAATGTTTTTCAGATATATATTTTGTAGATCATAAACTGTATTGTAGCTAATTTTATTATAAAAATGTATTTTTATATTTTTAAAATGTTGCATTGTCCTTTTGCTATAAAAATGTATTGTTGGTCATTTTATTATAAAAATGTACTGTTGATTTTTGTTTGGGGGTTCACGGTTTGCCCGTAGCTTGGACCCCCTAACAGGTGTTAGCACCCAGAGTCATGGTGGACATGAGAACAACAGCAATTAAGAAGTGGTTTCACATTTCTCAAAACTTCAAATCTACCGATCGGGAGCCTTACTGCCAGATGTAGTTTATCGTCATGACCAAGATGACATGAAAATGACAAAGATTTGGTCATACTTGCAACGTTGAATTTGGTTCTCTTTCCATCAAACTTAGTTTCAAGGATCAAAATACTTTAACAATTATTTCTTCATTCTTAACTTTGATAAGACTAATAATAGTAATAAAGAGAAATATTATTATTTGCTAATATCGCTAATAGAGACAGGCCTGCTTGAAAATAAAATCAGCATTTTAAATCATGGTTTTTTTTATGAGGGTTTGCAGGTTAAAATAATCCATGACTTACCTGCAGACAGGTGATGAAGTAACACCTTTTGGGATCGGTGACAATGGAGGAGCCTAAAGAAAAAAAAAAAGAAAGAAAAGGAAACTTAAACTCAACAATTGAAGTTAAATCCTGTTGGATTTATTTTAATATGCAGGAAATCTTTTACTTTAGTTGTATATGCTGCCGATTAAAGAGAAAACTAAATTTATTCTTATTGCCTGCAACTTTTAGAAGAGCCATTAACAAAGTAAATATTGTTTGTATGTTTGAACGTGCTTCAACCACTTCAACCATGTTATGATATACACCTGAGATTTTGGATTAGTCAAAATGTGTTCATAGCAATATACAAAGAATTATCCCAAGTTCTTTTGTTTTAATTTATGCATGTTTTTTTTTTTTATTTATTTTTACTATTTTTATTACAGACTAGCAGAGGTACCATGCATTGCACAGAAACTAAATTTGTCTAAATAAAAAGAGATACTTCATTTCATTAATATAGATTATTAAAATGATTAAGGGTAGGTACCTCCACTTACTTGCTGAAAAAAACAACATAGCATAAAAAAGGCCCCAAACTTGACAAAAGCAAGGTTTTACCATCAAAATTACTCAGTCACAAGCTAACTTCCACCATATATATTACACAAACATACATGTAAAATATATCAAAGGCAAATGCAAACTGATAAATAGGTAAATGCTGATCAAGTTAAGCATTTTTTAAAAAGTTATATAATATAACTATATATTATAAAAACACACCTCTGAGTTTCAAGTAAATTGGCTAGGATGATGATTCTCTTTGAGAATAACTGACTTGGGACACCACCCCTTTATTTAATATTCAAGAAACTGCTTCATTTCAACATATATTAAGGGGTGAGAGCAAATTTCCTCAATTTTTAACAAAAGGGGTGGTTAGATAAGGGTGTCCAAAGTCAATTACTCTGAAAAAAAGAATAATCATCCCAGCCCATCTATTTGAAACACAGAGGTATACACTTCTAGAGTTCATTCTTAATTTGTCTAGTTCTTTTTTTGAAAGGTGGAACAGGAAAAGTTAATTACTAATTTTACATATATAAGCCAACTACCAATATGACATCCCTGATGATCATATATGTACAATCTGCCATTAGGTATGTTGATCAGCAAGCAGATTCATACAACATTTCCACAGCCAGCATCCAGAAAGGCAAGCTGCAGCAGGGAGACTTACATGTCAGTAATGTGGGGAAAACTGCATGATTCCTGCAGGTCTTAAAAGCCATTTAAGATGTCATCAGTGACAAAGTGATTATAATTAAAAAGTGTGGAAAATTAAGAAAGTTTTATAGCATAGAAATAAAGCAGAGGATCAACTATTATTTTTTAATTTTACTTCAATATTCAAGACATTTCGAACAAAGAAAATACAGAGCAACAAAGTGACTGATATAATTGCAAAATTACTGAGATGTAGTCTTTTTTTTTATTTTATATTTTGACAGCAATTTTGGATTTGTTAGAAGTTATACTTACAGATGGTCGAGCTGGATTAAACTGAAGCAGATAATTTTTCATTATTGGCAGAAAGACTTTGTTGTAGAAACCAACAATAGAATCTGTGTCCCCATTTTGAAGCAAAATAACTTTGAACACCTGAAACAAGAAGTTGAAGTTAATTTCCATTAAAAGTACATTATATATATATATATATATATATATATATATATATATATAATATAGTATCAAATAAAAATAATACTAATATATATTTTCACAATCCTTCCTCCATTTGAACATCAGGAGTAGATATTTATCCCTTGTTTCCTGTTGAGGATTTTTAAAAATGAAAAAGTATTCTTGAAGCTTTCATTTTAGCTTTAATTGAAAGCTAAATGTTTAAATTTACTATTACCAGTAAGCAAAATACTTTGGTGTATTTCAAATAGAAATTATATTGACTGGAATCTCAACTTTTTTGGTCGCTTTCAGTAAAATCATTAAAACTTGACCATTTTTGACACATCTGTAAACAAAAGTTAATTCCCAGTTTTAAAAATCTTCCTAAAATAAAATATACTTTTCTGGAATTTTATTTGAGGATTATTAGCTGATTTAAGGTATAATTAATCTGATCTGAAAAAAATATTATTTACTTTAAGTTTAAAATAACAGTGAAATAAGTTTTTAAAACAGTAGTGGCGATTATATGCTTATCACCATCACTTGTCACTCATAGATTACTTATCAAGTGATGATAAAATCTGTCAACATCTTTACTGTTGTTCTACAGAGACCTTATCTGTTAAAACATAAGAAAATGCCGAGTGAGCGCCTTTTTTATATCATATCAAGAAATCTTCCATGGAGCACCTGTTCTTTGGTTTTCAAGTTTTGAGTCGTTTATACCTTGCACTGAATGAACTAATGATAGTAAAAGGAATATTCATGTTGTCTGAGCATCCTGACGATAAGCTACATCCATGTCCTGAGTAAGATGATAAAATACATCCGATAGCAAGGCCACTGATCAGGAGGTTTGAGGAGCATGGAACCACTTCTTAATTGCTGATGTTCCCAGGTCCACCCTGACCTGGAGTGGTAGCACTTGTTAGTGTCCCAGCAATGGGCAAATAGTTAACCCCCAAATTCAAAACACTATGAAAGTGTAAAACTAGGTTTTAATACCAGCAACACATTTTTGGAAAAAAATATTACCAGCAATAAAAATCTTGTTAGCATTAAATAAACCATTGAGGTTGGTATGCCATAAAACAAAACAAACCAAACCAATCAGGTAGTCTGAGATTTTTCTCTAACTTTTACCTTTTTTACAGAGCTTAACAATCAGTTCTTTTTGTGAATTTGTCAGGTTTTTTACTTCTTGCCATGATGATAACCTTCTTGCATGAATATCAATTACAGTTTGTATTTTTTAGGATAAAAATAACTACTGATAACATTATTGGAACATTGTAGAATATTCCACTTGAATAATCTAAAGTATTAAAGCAATCTAAAAGTTTTAAAGTTTGAAATTTGCATTGTATAAATACTTTTTTCACCCAATAAATGGATAAATATAGATGTTGCCTGTTGTAACCTAAGGGAAGGTTACTGAATAGAATAATTGCATGAAGGTTGGTAATGAACAATAATACTTAGGACAAGAACAACACATATAAGATTTGCCAAGCGGCACATAGAAGTAGTAGTCAACTGCTAGAAGTGAGTCAAGTGAATTCCACAATGAATCTAACTGCAGACCAACATACAGTATTTACTACTGTATTTATGTGAATTCTCGTCCATAGGTATGCCACAACATTGCCCTAATCCTAAAATTACTCTGTAGATATACTAAGCTTAACAACAATCATCATTGATATTATGCACCATGTCTTATCTTACAAGTTTTTATATCATATCATTTGATAAGTGTTTCATACATATAACTGTTATACAATAGTGTGTCTGTACATCTAAAGCAAACAAAAGTTAATCTACTTTCACTTCAAGTTTGGTTTTCTTGCCATAACATTAAAAAATAATTAAATTAAACTTACATGACTTGATTCTGGTTGGGAATGAAGAAGCTCTTTATAAACTGTCATGATGTCCTTGAATTTAATGTCTTGGCGAACAACACGACAGATACCAAATAAGCAGCACATCATTATCTAAAAGAAAAGAAAAAATAAATCAATTAAAAAGTTTTTTATGATGATGATTGTTTTTAAAAAATGGGTTTTAATTGATTGATTGATTAATTTTTTATGGCTTATCAATCCTTTGCAAGTTATTAAAAGCCAGAAAATATTTTTAGATTGTAAGAATTCCTTTTTGAAATAATAATGGTTTACCGATACAAGTCTAACTATTTAACCCATCTGTTATGTACCATGATGGTACACACTTAGGCGATCATGTATCTTTTGATACATGACTGATGAGGCAGATTTTTTCCCCACAGTAGGTTGCCATTTCTTTCTGCACTAGACCAGTTGCCATCCAAGGCTATAGAACTCAGTCTGTCCTGCTATTTACCCATAGCTGGGGGAGAGTAGAAGAGAATTCATACCTTTCCTAAGGGTATTAGCATGTAAGTGAACATAATGGATTCAACTGGAATTTGAACTCAGCTCTCTGATTCCTCAATCTGAGCTGCTATCCATTACACCACCATGTCTCCTTAACCCATAGCAAAGGGGAAAGAGGATGATTAATACCTTTGCACGTATGTGAATATAACAACCCCAACAGGAATTGGAATGTGGCTCCCCAATGAAATCCTGAGACATTATCCATTACACAATCCACACATCCAAGCTTACAGCACCTGATATTCCCAAATTGTCCCCATTTAGGTACTGACCAGACTTGACATTGCTTAACTTCGGTGAAGCTTATTTAATTTTGAATAGTTGAATACCATTATTGGTGCTTTAGTTTTGAATTGTATTACTTAACAATTTAGAATCATAGGGAAAAGAAAAAGAAATGAAAGGAAGGAGGCGGAGGATGAAATATTCCTCTCACTAAAATTCTCAATGTAGTATAAAAAAGTAAAGGAAAAAAGAAAAAAGGAAAAAAGAAATACAATAAAAAAAAAATAAGAGAAAGAAAGGAGGGAGAAAAAGAAGAAAGGAGAGAAAAAAAAGAAGAAAGGAGAGAGAAAAAGAAGAAAGGAGGGAGAAAAAAGAAGAAAGGAGAGAGAAAAAAGAAGAAAGGAGAGAGAAAAAAGAAGAAAGGAGAGAGAAAAAAGAAGAAAGGAGAGAGAAAAAAGAAGAAAGGAGAGAAAAAAAAGAAGAAAGGAGAGAAAAAAAGAAGAAAGGAGAGAAAAAAAAGAAGAAAGGAGAGAGAAAAAAAAAAGAAAAAATTCAGATAAACCAATAAAAAAGTAACCTGATCAAGATGCCGTTGTCGTAAAAGTTCTCTCTGGGAAATAATACAGTATCTAAGGCAGGTCCAGACTTTCTGCTTCTGTAAAGAAGAACAAAAATGTCATCATAAAATTCTTTAATTCTTAGTAGCAATATAGCATACTTGTGTATAATGTGATTCTTACATATAATGCAATCCTCAATTTTTATATACAAATAAAAACAAAGCTGGAAATGTTTAACAATTGTGACAAAAAAAAAAAAAAAAAAATGTGTCAAAAGGACTGTTATTACTGTATACACTTTTGATTCCCTCAGCAATGTTTATTTACAAGATTATAAAAATATGTGAACCAAGTACAATGTAATATTTATTATTTACCTTTTATAAAGAAATAAATTTGAAAAAAAAGTCTTTTAAAAAATTTATAAAACAATTATAAAATTATCAAAATACCAACTACAATGCATTATTTACCATTTTATAAATAACTTGCCGAATTACCCACACCTTGCTGCATGTTACACATTTTTTTGTAAGAAAATGAGGATTATTTTTAAATCATTGTTATAATTTGTGGAGAAAAATGATACATTTCAGTATTACTCAATGAACTTGCTGGTGTGACCTTCATCTTCTGGGTTTCTCCTTCTATATTTTGGATAGGAGTTATTCCCTTGTTCAAATTTAAATTTAATTTAAATCAAACAAAAAAAATTTCAGTGGTGGGTGGGTGCAAAAACAGTTTTATCTGACCGCCTTGATATGTATTTCATGCAATACCTGAGTGAATGAACTGATGAGCAGATCTCAACATTAATATGACAGTTGAATTGTTGCAACAAATACGCACTGTAAGGCACTACCCACTGTTTGGTGATTCCTCGCTCAACTTGATGTCCATAGTGTCTCATTTTGATCTTGCCAATGTGACCTCTATCTTCTGGCTTTCTCCTTCTATATTTTGGATAAGAGTCATTTCCTTGTACAAATTAAATTTTAATTTAAATCAAATGGAAAAAAATGTCAATGTGCGTGTGTTTGGGGAGGGGGTTATCACCTCTTTTTCTTTCTTTCACTAAAACAAAATGTTTCTGATATAAATTTTTCTACCATCTTTTCTTTCAAGGAAAATGGAATGGTTCATTATTTGAGGTAATGATAGGGCATGAAAAGTGTAGGTACTCACCACAAGACTTTCAGGGTTTAATGGCCATAACTCAGAGTGTGGCTAGCCGAAAGTAAACAAAAACCTTGGAAATTTAATCTGTCTTCGGCTGCTAAACCAGGAATTTGTGAGTAGGGAACAGGAAAGCTATTACAGGGCATAATGCACATGTTAAACTAATAGCAAAACAAGGTGAAATAAAATATGATTTTATAAAAGCAAGACAGGATTTTTTGTGTTTTCCAGACTGAAATTTCAAAATTTATCCTATCAGCTATTGCACAAATTGAAAGCAAGATGTACCTTCAAGTTGATATAACTTTGTGCTCAGTACTTAAGTAAAGAACCAAAATTTGCAATGCCCTTCTTGCAGGCAAAATTTTCCTACTTATATTGGCTCAGCACACTTCTATTGATTGTTATACTCAGAACATCTTGACCAATGTATCCCCACCACGTCTTCTTCATTCTCTTCAATAACGTTTTTAGGAAATTTTAACTGAATCCTTTATTCAATCTATGGAGTTGATTTTTTTTACATTCTGTTTTTACATGCTGAAGATTTCCTATTTCTGTTTGAATGTGGTGTCATAGTAATTGTGAGTTCAATCCCTAGGCCAGGTAGTATAGATTAAGACTCAGCAGAAACAGGGCAAGCAATAACTGATCAATAGTAAGGAAAAAAAAAAAAAAAAAAAAAAAAAAAAAAAAAAAAAAAAAAAAAAAAAAAAACAAACACGAAATGATATTCCTCATCATGGACAGCACAACAAGAACAATCTACCTCCATAGATGAAATGAAGGGTCCAATTTTTTTTATGGTTACTCAGACCAATGAATGTCTAAAGGCTGAAAGAGACAACAGCCGAAACTTTGTGATAACAAAGATGACAATATTGGTCCAAATGTAAATAAGGACTTCTCATATCAGATTATTCTTTTTAGCCTATTCCCCTTTGTGTTGCTTGTCCATTTCTTCTACTGAACCTGTATATATGACTCTTCTGCACTATCCAGCCCAGAGATTGAACTCATAACTGCTAGAAAATCAAATATGCTTTAACATATGTTGTTGGTTCAAGACACAAATATAACAGAAACAGCAATAATAATCAAAGTCTGTTCTGCCACCAGAGTCATCATCTCTATTGTTTTATATTCCCTTTGTTTTTCCCCCATTTTAATTTAGGTACATTTTAGTTTAGTCACCATTTTTTACCACTTCCTGTTCAGGCTATATTACTGAAACCTGCACAATAAAACACAGGCTCAAAGACCGCAGTTCATACTTTCTTATATTCCTATTTGTTTTTCTGACTAAACAAGCCTCAAATTTGTATTCATTTCTTTTCCTAGTTCCACCCTTTTGGCTTTCCATAAAACTGATGAACAAGACTCTTTAGAGTTTTGATTGGCATGACATTTATCTGGATGCCTGACGTATGCATGTGTATAAGACACACATGTACTGGGAGGCAGAACCATCTCCAATAAGTGAAAAAGAAATAGTTTAGAGATAAACAAAAACATAAAGGAAATTGTGATTACTTACCAATTCGTGATTTACTTTAACAGCTTGGCACAAGTCACTAAGTCGTTTGTGGGCAAGATAAAAAACTGAAATATTCAATTATATCATTTTAGTAAAATAGAATAGAGTTTAATATGCAGACCCTTTCAATGCTTTATAGATTTTATATACATAAATTCTAGCATGATTACTAAAATAAAAATGTTGTGATAACAACAACAAAAATGAGGAAAATAGTCTGCATGTAAATAATTCCTCATCCCAGAAATTTAGACTGAAGATATTCATTACTCTTACCCACAAATGTGATGTAGAATTGTTGAGTATAAAAATCAGCCTTTTAAAAACAGTTCTATATGTCCAAAACGTTTTTTATGTTTTTTTTAAAAACTAATACCCAATACAAGGCTCAAGAGCCCTTCAAGGTAGAGGGTTACTGAATGAGACATGTGGTATGAATGTAAGTTGAGGAAGCAAACCCCTATGTGTCTTAATGGCTTTATTGCCTTGCTTGGGGTGAAACAATAAGAAATGTAATCATGGAAGAAAATTAACTACTGAAAAATGAAACAACCCTGATTTTAGCTCATTCAACTGAGAGTAGACTACTATTTTAGCTCGTTCAACTGAGAGTAGACTACTATTTTAGCTCGTTCAACTGAGAGTAGACAACAATTTTTCCCAGAATAGAAAAGATTTTGAAAAAAGGATGTTTTATTCAATGCCTTTATAGAAATGATAAGTTGAAAAAATTAACTTTATTTATTAAATGATGGAAACCATCGAATTTGAACACAGAACTAAAGGAAAAACTTATTCAAGACCAGTCATATATGAGCAATTTCTTCATCCTACTGAATTCAAAAAGTTAACAGAAAAATTCTCAAAAAAAAAAAATTAGATCATATTCCAAATACTATCAAACAAATTTGGCATTGCTTTTTATGTAACTAGATCACAAAGCATTCAAATCAGATTTCTAAGAAGGCTATTTGATTTGATTTTAGGGATTTGTGTGAAATTGTTTTTATATAAACAATTGTGCAGCAGTATATATGGGGTTTAGTTGCAGCTGAACCCTAAGGATGTTCACATTCAGGCAACAGAAAGTTGTGCAACAGGAGGCACCAGTGGGTGAGGTTGTGTGTGTGTGTGTGTGTGTGTGTGTGTGTGTCCTCCCCACTTTCTGGGACTAGGTTTAAGATGTGAAACTGAATACATACAGATATGGAGAGGGTCTGCTCAGAGTTACAAAGTTGCATTTGTTAATTTCCACCCCCCACTTAACTCACATGTAAACCTCCAACATACCTAACATTCCCTTATGGAAAATAGATTTCAGAAAACAGAAAGTTGTTAAGTCTCCAGTTTGTACCCAGTTTCCACACAATGTTTAGAATTAATAGGAAACATGTGACAACAAGCCAACAGACACAATGTTAACAATATCACGCAGAGAACATTTGTCTTACATAATACTAGTGACAGTATCAGTGTACATTTGATGTACTAGCAAAAATAGATCTTGTTGAATCAAAAATTGATTTTTTTTGTTCTTGTTATGTCACCCTTTCAGAGTACAAGAAATTTGCCTCAACAATTGTAAATAATGTACTATTAAACAACTGATGCATTTTGGGATAGTGACATGCATCTAAAAAGTAAATTTCTTAGAAAATCAAATGTAAAGTATTTTAGAATAACAGGAGATAACAATGGAAATTATAAACTAGACTATTTTGATTGATGCAAAAGAAGAAAATAAAAAGGAAACATAAGAGTGGGGAAAGATATGGAAAAGAAAACAAACAGAAAAAAACAGATAACAGAGAAGCAGGAAGTGGAGAGAGACGGAGACAGAGTCAGGAGGGGGAGAGAGACGGAGACAGAGGCAGGAGGGGGAGAGAGACGGAGACAGAGGCAGGAGGGGGAGAGAGACGGAAACAGAGGCAGGAAGGGGAGAGAGACGGAAACAGAGGCAGGAAGAGGAGAGAGACGGAAACAGAGGCAGGAAGGGAGAGAAACAGAGGCAGGAAACAGAGGCAGGAAGAGGCAGGGAAGAGGAGACGACGGAAACAGAGGCAGGAAGGGGAGAGACGGAAACAGAGGCAGGAAGAGGAGAGAGACGGAAACAGGGCAGGAAGGAGAGGCAGGAAGAGGAGAGAGACGGAAACAGAGGCAGGAAGAGGAGAGAGACGGAAACAGAGGCAGGAAGAGGAGAGAGACGGAAACAGAGGCAGGAAGAGACAAGAAACAGGAACAGGATGACATGGAAAAAAAAAAAGAGATAGGAAAAAAAGTCATACTCAAGTCTTACCTTTACTGAAGAAATGTTTCAGTGAACGGTTTGTTTTTGCGGTATCTGGATCTGATGAAAATGTGGTACTTTCAGTAGGACCTGGACTGGAAGAGGAGGAGGAGGGAGAAATATTGTTGTTGATGCATGTGTACGTGGTGTATGAGGTGGTTGGGACATTGGTAATATTACTATAGCTGCTATTACCACTGCCAGGTGTTCCAGGAAGTGAAGTACCATTATTATTATTATTATTGTTCTTTGTTGGAGTGCTCCTGTAAAATAAAATAATTTTTCTTATTATCAATTTTGGCAAGGAGCCAATAATAATGTTTAAACAGCTGCTAACAACAAGTAGACATATAACATACAGGATATATCCCAACCTCACCCCCAAATTGACAATTTTAAAATGTGAATATTGGAGTAACTACATATCCCAAAATTAAATTGGCTTCATGTTGAGCAGTAAAAGATTTATTTATTAAAATTTGAACAAGATATCCAAAGGGATATAGATTTTAAATAATCAATTTCACAAAACTTCACAAATGTCCAATATGCACAACAGCTGTAACATGACACATGTCAAGTCAGTAGTCCAGCTCCTGCCAAACATGCTGTAGCATGTCTTGCATAACATTCTTCAGTACCTCAGTGATTCTTTGTTTAAATTCTTCTAGAAAGAGGGAGGATATAGACCAGTCCTTTCACATATCCCCATAAAAAAATAACCACAAAAAATAGTGTCAAGTCAGATGAATGCGGTGACCAACAGCACAACAGCATGTTGTCATTATCACTGGCATGCCCAATACATCTTCCTGGTAGATTCTTATTGAGATAAGTCTCCACAGTCAACTTAGTGAGAATTAGCTATGTTATTAAACTGCAAAATGATGTCAATATTTTTTTGGATACCCTGTATATTTATATATTGTCAAAATAACACAATATAATCCATTCACTGATACCATGGAAAATTTGAACCTATAGTACTGCTTGTTAGGGGTTAAAAGTTCAGTACTGAGAGACAACCAGCTATAAATTCTTTGCCAGAAGACTGCTTTTGCTACAAAAGTTTCGCTTATTCTAATCAAGATACAAATAAAATAAAAAGGCACAAGATAATAATTTTTCATTTATATATTTATTTGTTTAAACAGCCATAGATACAAGCAGATACAAAATAAGTTGTAGAATAAAATATATTTGATGTGATAAAATGTATTAATGCATTTCACTCAGGTGAATAAAAACTCTTTAGAGTTCACTAAAAATAGAAAGTCTTTTCAAGAATACACTAAAAAAAAAAAAATAATGTTCTTATTTTTAGAGTTCATTGAAAATTAACAATACATACAGATACCATAGAAATGGAGTTGGCAAAACATGGATGCACATGGTATCAGAAATTGGAGAGGACACTGAAGCAACAGGTGTGGCAGTGGAATTATTTTCTCACAGTGAATTAAAAAGTCCAGCTTCTTTTATGGATATAAAGTGGCTCACAGAGATCAGGTTTTGTTATTGGTACAAAGCTTTCTTATTGGCCAAAATATTTTCATTCTTTTGTTTATTATTTTCTAATTGGAAGTATGTGATCTTCTTGCAGAGAAAATATTTCTCACTTGTATTCTAGTCACAGAAGTGTTAACTTCAAGTTTTGCATCTTGCTCAATACAGACCTTTACATAATACCATCTTTACTTTTTTTTTTTTTACTGTTAACATTAAAAATATATATATACAATTACTTATTTTTCATTTTGGCAAATAAAATTAATTCTTTTTTTTTTTTTTTTACTGTTAACATTAAAAATATATATACAATTACTTATTTTTTTTTGGCAAATAAAATTAATACCATCTTTAAAATTAAAAATATATATACAATTACTTATTTTCATTTTGGCAAATAAAATTAATACCATCTTTACTTTTTTTTTTTTTACTGTTAACATTAAAATATATATATACAATTACTTATTTTTCATTTTGGCAAATAAAATTAATACCATCTTTACTTTTTTTTTTTTTTTACTGTTAACATTAAAAATATATATATACAATTACTTATTTTTCATTTTGGCAAATAAAATTAATACCATCTTTTTTTTTTTTTTTTTTTTACTGTTAACATTAAAAATATATATATACAATTACTTATTTTTCATTTTGGCAAATAAAATTAATACCATCTTTACTTTTTTTTTTTTACTGTTAACATTAAAATATATATATACAATTACTTATTTTCATTTTGGCAAATAAAATTAATACCATCTTTACTTTTTTTTTTACTGTTAACATTAAAATATATATATACAATTACTTATTTTTCATTTTGGCAAATAAAATTAATACCATCTTTACTTTTTTTTTTTTACTGTTAACATTAAAATATATATATACAATTACTTATTTTTCATTTTGGCAAATAAAATTAATACCATCTTTACTTTTTTTTTTTACTGTTAACATTAAAAATATATATATACAATTACTTATTTTCATTTTGGCAAATAAAATTAATACCATCTTTACTTTTTTTTTTTTACTGTTAACATTAAAAATATATATATACAATTACTTATTTTTCATTTTGGCAAATAAAATTAATACCATCTTTACTTTTTTTTTTTTTACTGTTAACATTAAAAATATATATATACAATTACTTATTTTTCATTTTGGCAAATAAAATTAATACCATCTTTACTTTTTTTTTTTTTTACTGTTAACATTAAAAATATATATATACAATTACTTATTTTTCATTTTGGCAAATAAAATTAATACCATCTTTTACTTTTTTTTTTACTGTTAACATTAAAAATATATATATACAATTTTCATTTGGCAAAAATTATTTTTCATTTTTTTTTAAATAAAATTAATACCATCTTTTTTTTTTTTTTTTTTTTTTACTGTTAACATTAAAAATATATATATACAATTACTTATTTTTCATTTTGGCAAATAAAATTAATACCATCTTTACTTTTTTTTTTTTACTGTTAACATTAAAAATATATATATACAATTACTTATTTTTCATTTTGGCAAATAAAATTAATACCATCTTTACTTTTTTTTTTTTTACTGTTAACATTAAAAATATATATATACAATTACTTATTTTTCATTTTGGCAAATAAAATTAATACCATCTTTACTTTTTTTTTTTTACTGTTAACATTAAAAATATATATATATAATTACTTATTTTCATTTTGGCAAATAAAATTAATACCATCTTTACTTTTTTTTTTTTTACTGTTAACATTAAAAATATATATATACAATTACTTATTTTTCATTTTGGCAAATAAAATTAATACCATCTTTACTTTTTTTTTTTTTTAACATTAAAATATATATATACAATTACTTATTTTTCATTTGGCAAATAAAATTAATACCATCTTTACTTTTTTTTTTACTGTTAACATTAAAAAATATATATACAATTACTTATTTTCATTTTGGCAAATAAAATTAATACCATCTTTACTTTTTTTTTACTGTTAACATTAAAATATATATATACAATTACTTATTTTTCATTTTGGCAAATAAAATTAATACCATCTTTACTTTTTTTTTTTACTGTTAACATTAAAAATATATATATACAATTATTATTTTTCATTTTGGCAAATAAAATTAATACCATCTTTACTTTTTTTTTTTTTACTGTTAACATTAAAAATATATATATACAATTACTTATTTTTCATTTTGGCAAATAAAATTAATACCATCTTTACTTTTTTTTTTTTACTTTAACATTTTTTTTATTTTCATTTTGGCAAATAAAATTAACCATCTTTAAAAATAAAAATATATATATAAATTACTTATTTTCATTTTGGCAAATAAAATTAATACCATCTTTACTTTTTTTTTTTTTTTACTGTTAACATTAAAATATATATATACAATTACTTATTTTTCATTTTGGCAAATAAAATTAATACCATCTTTTACTTTTTTTTTTTTTACTGTTAACATTAAAAATATATATATACAATTACTTATTTTTCATTTTGGCAAATAAAATTAATACCATCTTTACTTTTTTTTTTTTTTTACTGTTAACATTAAAAATATATATATACAATTACTTATTTTTCATTTTGGCAAATAAAATTTACCATCTTTTACTTTTTTTTTTTACTGTTAACATTTTATATATACAATTAATTTTCATTTTGGCAAATAAAATTAATACCATCTTTACTTTTTTTTTTTACTGTTAACATTAAAATATATATATACAATTACTTATTTTTCATTTTGGCAAATAAAATTAATACCATCTTTACTTTTTTTTTTACTGTTAAATTAAAAATATATATATACAATTACTTATTTTTTCATTTTGGCAAATAAAATTAATACCATTTTTTTTTTTTTTTGTTAACATTAAAAATATATATATACAATTACTTATTTTCATTTTGGCAAATAAAATTAATACCATCTTTACTTTTTTTTTTTTTTACTTTTTTATATTTTTTGTTAAAATTAATACCATCTTTACTTTTTTTTTTTACTGTTAACATTAAAATATATATACAATTACTTATTTTCATTTTGGCAAATAAAATTAATACCATCTTTACTTTTTTTTTTTTACTGTTAACATTAAAAATATATATATACAATTACTTATTTTTCATTTTGGCAAATAAAATTAATACCATCTTTACTTTTTTTTTTTTACTGTTAACATTAAAAATATATATATACAATTACTTATTTTTCATTTTGGCAAATAAAATTAATACCATCTTTACTTTTTTTTTTTTACTGTTAACATTAAAAATATATATATACAATTACTTATTTTTCATTTTGGCAAATAAAATTAAATAGGTGTGGAATTTGTAAATAAGAATATGCAAAATTTGTGTGAGGTAATATTAAAAAAAAAAAAAAAAATTGCTCCCTTAAACTTTCAGCTCCTGCAGGAAAATACTCCATTTCCTGTCTTTACAGCACACTAGAGAAAAGAAAAATAATCACCCTGCAACTCACACCCTGACAACTGTATTACGGTTATTAACATCAAAACACAGTTTGACATATTTTCTCACTTAATGAAATGGAATTAAATGTATATGATTTTAAATTAATAAATTATGCATATAAATCAGAGTATTAAAATAAAAATTTGAAGTATCTAAATAGAAAAGGATGATGAATTAAATAAAAATATTTTTTTCATAAATATTCCTTGCTAGATGTTATATGGCATTAAAAACAAAAGGATGCTGAAAAGGTAAACAAAAATTCTGATATTTGGTCAGATTTGGGTCAATCAATCAGATCAAGAATTTTTTAGCACTTTGTCTTATGGTTTATACCATATTTGTCAGCCTAAGACAGACACCATCTTTAGCAGGATATTTAGTGAAAAAAAAGACCATTTTGTTTCATTATGTATTTATTAAAAAAAATCCCTTTAAAATAGCTTTTGTAGAAATAAGCAAAAAATTTTTTTGTGCATGTAAATGCCAAGTATCTGATAATCATAATCTATAGATAAATGGCAGAACAGATTCGTCCCTATAGCCTAGGAGAAGGAAAATTGAATTCAAACCACCTGCTGCCTTGTAGGTCCTGTCTCTTTGGGCACAAAAACAAATCCACCTCACATGTTATCTCAAAAAGATGAACTGCCCCCACCCACTTCAAGCTGTGACAGATAATAAGGCACACCTTGGGTTTAGTACAATGCTTTGAACAAACAAGACCGGAACATGGTATGGCACAGTGGACCCCTCAGATTTCAGACCATTTGCTCATGGGTGTATCATCTATGGCCCTTTAGACAACAAAAGGAAAAATAAATCTAAAAATTATACCAGAATAATAGCATTTTCCATATGGTCTATGGGCTGAATGATTACATAATAGTGAGCTTGAATTTGCTCACAAGCTGTAGTTTACTAACTCCTAGATCAGCAGATGTAATATGAGGCAGTATTGAAATATTTCAGGAATAATAAAATCTGGAAGAATCCATAATTCATTCCTATCATGTGAGAACTGCCAGATTGTTTGGTAACTAATGTCATGGATGATTTCAATTTTTTTCTACATTTTTTGGTGTTTGGCTGGTCATTGGTCATTCTGAATGACCATCATCGCAAACAATCAAACAACTTTGTAATGTGTAGGCTCCTCAAAAATAAGTGTTCAACTAAAGAATGCTTACAAAAAAGCTGACAGAGTATATTGAGGGCTTTAGTAATAGATTTGCTAGGCTTCATGTAAAATTTGCTTAAATTTGTCAGCCACTAACAAAGATCACCGAGTCATTCCAACACATGACAAAATCTTGTATACAAATTAAACACAAATGGATGAAATCTCACTCAGGAGGCTGGATACCATTGAGAATTAGCTGATCATATATTTAGATTGAATAATATACTCACAACATGCATATTCTGGGAAGTTTCATATACTATTTTGTATGCATTAGCACATAATACAAGTTAGGGGTTCTTAATAATTGGAACAGTTGGAATTTTTCTCAATATGCAATAAACAGGTAGGGGAAAAATAGAATAGAAAGAAAAGAAAAAATAATTTAAAAAATTCATCATTATTTTTTAAACAATGTTAAAAAAAAGTGTAAATAAAAAACTTGAACTATCATAATTACTATTTCCCATTTGGTCTCTGGGGTGAAAATGCAAAATTAATAGATGGAAGGTGTCTTAATAAGCTTGGAGAGTGGGAAGTGATCAGAAAATTTGCTTAAAACTAAATAAATAAAAATAATGCTCCCACCCCTTATAAGGTACTTGAAAATAAGTTAAATATGGTAAGATTACTTACATGGAATCATTTCCATTTTCACTAGTTGGAGGTTCAAGAATTTCTTCTAGACAGTCACTTTTAATATCAAACACAGGAGAATCCTGAAACAAGAAATTAAAAATCAGTCCTTTTGAAACTGCAAAGCAAAAAAAAAAACAGACAGAATATACATCTGCCTGAATTTTGATAGACTTTATAAATTAAAACTGAAGTAACAACATGAGAGTAAAACAAGGAGCACATTTTACAAAGTGGACACAGAATATGTGCTCTTAAATATCTCACATTGTAATATGATCCTAAATGTATCAAGAAAACTCAGAAATTAGTGATGTAAAAATTACTCTCTCTTAATTAAAACTGCATTCTTTAAGTCTAATCATTTTTACAATCTACATTGTTTTGTAAAAGATAACTACTTTCCATTGACAAAAGAGATTATATTCAGTCATCATTTCATTTTAAATGCTAAATTTAGATATAGCTGTCATAACTGTGGAGAGAAAAATTAATTAAAAAAGTGTTTTCATACTACTTTCCATTGACAAAAGAGATTATAATCATATTTATTTTATATATATATATATATATATATATATTATCTAGTAAATTTAAAAAGCTAACTAACATTGCATATTATTCTATAGTATATAGAGATAGAGATGAAGTAAAGGCCAAATTTATTGTCTATAGTACCAATTATTGTTGACTCCATTTGGTTACAGTGTTTAAAATGGTTGACAATCATCATAGTTCTTTTTTGTGATTTGAGATACAGGGTTCTTGTATTCCTTCTGGTTGACGGAAATTAATTTGTTGCATTCATCCTTTCATCTTCTTTCTCTTCTGGTGTTGTATGTCAGGTCAAACTCACAGTCGATGAATCACCAACCCTTGTCTTGAAACTGCTACCTCAAATCAAGTTACTCTCCACTGTGGCATTTCTCTTCTCGTACATGGTTTTCTTCTTTTTATTGGGGCTGACACATCCGTGATTCCCCGTTTGATTTTTGGCAGGACATGTTGTCATTGGTTGATTTCTCATGACGTTCACTGACCCACATAAACTAAGTCTGGGTTCATGTCCATTACCAAGAATAGGAACAATAGAAGGAAGGAAAGATAGGAAATATATAGGAGAAAGGGAGAGAAAACTTTCATTGTTACTCACTTAGTAAAAAGGAAAGTGTATATTTTCATATGGTGTTATTACTATCTAACCTTACTACAAACCTATTTGATGGAATATAAACCCTTCCTATGAACCACCACCAAAAAAAAAAAAAAAAAAAAAATCCCATTTTTATGCACAAAAATTGAGGTTTCTTGTAGGCTAATTTTTATCAAAATACTGGGAACGGCCAAATTACTAATTTGTGTACCAAGCTTAACTCAATAATACTGTAATATTACATATCTCCACATATCCCTAAAATCTTCTGTTCTGTTATTACAGTACAAAATTGTATTGTTTATTCCCCTTTTTTTCAGTTGAGGTACCTTTTAGATTGGTCACCATTCTTAACCAATTCCTGTTAGCCCTTAGTTATCACCAGAACCCTCACTGTAAAAGCATGATCCCAAGTATGTGGTTCTTAATTTTCTCACCTTCCTAATCTTAACCCCAACATCAGCATCACAGGTATTTAACTTTTAAAACCTTTTCTCTGTACCTTATTATGTTATTATTTGAACATTTCTTTAATGTAGTCATCTTTTATACACTTATTTTATATTTTTATCTTTCTATGTAGAATCCTTTTCCCAAATGTAACTTTCATGTAACCTGCTTCCTTTCTGGGAAGTTATCAAAGCAACTTTATACATATTCATGTAAACAAAGTATTTGCTACCCATTTAGACAAATGGTCTTCTATGTTCAAGCCTCCAGCTGCTTTTGTTATATTACTTGTTACTCTTTTGATTGTTTGTTATTCAGACTAAATTAGTCTATTATGAGTATTTATTTCTTTTTCTAGTTTTATTCTTTTGGCTTTTAATAAACCTGCTGATGAACAAGACTGTCTGCAGAGTCTTAATTGTCATAAGGCGTTTATTTGGCTGTCTTGTAGCATGCACATACAAGATGGACATGTACTCTGGAAGCAGAACATATTCACTTTCTACTCTTACAATGATACCATTTAACTCATTCAGTAACACTCTGATGTAAGTGGCTCTTGAACTTTGTAATGGGTAAACATTAGTAAAGAAAAAAAAGCTTACCAAACATACCACCCACCAAAAAAGCGTGTCAAAAGGACCGTTTTTCTCTTGGCATTATTGTTGTTTTATAATCCATGAGTAATCTTTTTTTGTTTTAAAGACTATTTTAGAATTTTAATAAAGCAAAAACACCTAAAACTGGATTTATATATATATTTTTTTGAGAACTGATAACAAAAATGTAAAACACTATTTATAATTTGTTTCCAAAGTTATTTCTTTATAATATTGTAAATAAATATTCCAGTTGGTTCATATATTTTTAAGATCCTGCAAATATAAAATTATGCTCATAAATAAGCAATCTAATAAATAGTGTTTAACATTTTTGTTGTCAGTTCTCAAGAAGAAAATGTATAAGTCCAGTTTGTGTTTGTGTTTTATTAAAATTGTAAAAATAGACATTTTAAACAATAAAAATTGCTGAGGGTGTAAACAGTAGTAGCAGTGTCAAGAGAAAAAATGTCCTTTTGACATACTGTTAAACATTGCCAAATATCCCATCACTGCACACTGTAAAATCAGACAATAATTATAAAAATTGAAATAAAAATCTGCTTTTTATTATAGGTTTCTACCTATAATCCATTAATACCCACTGTCATATTTTTTGGAGGGTGGGTATTAATGGGTTAAATATAAATAGGTGGGGTTGTATAAAAAGAAAAAAAACAAAAACAAAACAAACCTCTTTCCAGGCAAAACGCTCCAAAATTTCATCTCCCACTTTTTGAATGTGCTGCAATTAAAAAAATAAGTTACATAAAAAATAAAAATAAATAGAAAGCAATATATTTAAATGTAAGCTCAGGATATAATAAAAATAACTCTTACCTTCTGTATCTCTTCAGAGAGTTTAATTTCAGAACGCAGAAAACTTTCAATAATCAAAAAAAATTCATAAGCCTTTAAATGAAATACTTCTAATACCCAAGGAAAGTCAAATTCTGAACTGCCTGTTTTCATATTTTGTGGTGCCATGTTCCCTGAAATAATAATAGAAAAAATATTTATAGATTTTTAAGTTTTTTATTTAATTTTTCTTGTGTTCAAACAAGAGCTTTCTGTTCTGGACAAAGAGTGTGTAAAAACTGCCCAAATGTTTTATAGCTCCGAGCGCTTTCAGCTATACCTTTAGCCATTATCAAGGATGATTTAATTTTTCAGCTTAATTGAGTGTGTGCATTATGTGTATGTTTTAGTGTGTTGTAGAGATGTTTTTAATTTCCGAATACGATTAGCATTGTGGCCTTGTTCGTAGTTAATATTGTTAAGAGTTGGCTTTTTCTTTTTTATTATTAAAGCTTCCATTATTTTTAATCTTTTTTTTTTTACAAGTGGATGAAGTTATTATATTTGTGTTTTCTACTATATTTCTAATGGAGTCTGGTAAGTTAGTGTGTGTGTTTAAATGGGTTCTAATGGAGCTATGATCAGATAGGTGTAATGTAAGGAGTCTGGATAAGCATGTAGTTGTGTAACCGATGTAATTATTTATGAGTCCGGTTTGATCAGGAACACAGTTCCTTAAGGGGCATTTGATAGATAATGTTCATTCTTTGTAATTTTGACTTAACTGGTGTGTTGTTATTTTTGAGCATAACGTTAGCTGTCTTAATTTATATATATATATATATATATATATATATATATATATATATATATATATATGCTCACATGCTCACATACACACCACAGAAAAACAAAGTGTTGGTAGTATGAACAGAAAGCCTGCCAGTTGACCAAACAAACTTAATAAAAAGGAAGGAAAAAAATTAAAAAAAAGAAAATGAAATAAAGAAAACAAGAAAATGAAACAAATTAAGAAAAAAGATCAAAAAGTAGACACCAACAGTAACCAACAGTGCTCTCTGCCTATGTATATTGGCTTGGAAAAGTAGTTATTCTTTCAGGAATATATAAAATAAATTGCCAAAACTGTTCCTCACAATTCATTAGGGAAACATGTAGAAATTTAAAAACAAACATATACATGAACACAAAAGGGACCTCATACATTAGCAATCTAACAAATGCACTAATCAAACACAGAAATAAATTCAACTACAATTTTGAGCTAAAAAATACTACACTCATCAAAAGTAATTTAATCTAAAGGAAATTCTTGAGAGTGCTGCCATTGAATATTAGCAAAATATAAGTCTACACCCAGCTTTTTTCCTCAATTTCACCTTTTCTAAAACAATTACTACTTTCCCAACCACAAATATGTTGAAAAATCAAAAGAAAACAGTAAAATCTTTCATGCCTTTGAAGATGTACAGCACATATGTCTATCTTATACCATCACAATGTAAACAATATTCATTTAAATAAAATAAAATAGCTATTTTTTTAACTGATTATCTGTGTACAACATCAAGATGAAAGTTATACAAATTTTGTACCAAAATTCAATGTTTTATTATCAATTTTTTTCTTCTCTTATTACCAGAAATATTTAGTGCAGGAAAATAGTTAAAGCAAAACAAGAGAAATGTTAGTGAAATGAAAATGGAGAGCAGCAAGAAAAGACAGATTAATATTTATAACTTTTGTTTTAAAAGAATTTTAGCCTCTATGAGACATTTATTTGAATGTCAGGAATGGGTGTTTTCATCAAGACACTATCTTTTGATAGAAGCTCTTTAGCCTTAGCTAAGAATCTATCTGTTCATTAATAAAGGACTATTGATAGTTTTCAAACAGTTTTATCTAACCGGTTTCAATCACAATGCTTGAGTCAACGTGTGGTAAGGTTTTCGGGCACTTTACAAAGGTGTAGCACACTGGAAATGTCTCACATTTGACTGATATTATCAAGAACGAGATTTGAACATGAGCATCATAGTTTCAACATTAATGCTCTAACCACTCTGCCCATCACCACAATATGAAAATTTCATAATAAACACACACAACACAGATGAAAAACACTTGTACAGCATCAAATGAATAAAAGTAATAACATTTAAAATACATTTAGAATTGTCAGAATATGATAGCATTCATTTTATGGAAGAACAGGTTTAATCTTTGGTTTCATGATGATGACGACAGTTCCAAACATATTTTAAATGTCATTACTTTTCTTCATTCAATGCTATATGCGTTGGTACTCCTGGGAACTGCAGTCCAATTTCATTGTGCATTGCACAGTGAAAAAAAAATAAATAAATAAATAAATGCATGAAAGTTGTTTTTATTAAAATAGAGAACATGGTTAAAATTCCTGTAACATTCAATAATTTTCTTTTAAATTATGTTAGTCAGATCAGATTTCAGAAAACAGATATTCCCCTGTGGTGTTTACACACCCCAATACAAAAATGATTGTGTTACAATTATGTAAAATATTGTCGTACTGCTAAAAAAGAAAAAAAAATAACATAATCTCCATTAAAATAGACTACAGTTCAAAAGTTTGAGGTAACTCTGGTAATTTTTTAAATTGGTCCAAAAAGTAGCTGTTTTGTACTTTAAACAAGAGAAAATTATTATACATGGTTAAAAAATAACAAAAAAAAAATGAATTTTTATCATAAATTTTATTATGACAAAAAGAAAAAGAAAGCATTTTATGATTCATCATCATCCTTCAACCTCCCTATGGTTGGTTAGAACTCCATTGACAATCCCTTTCCACACTATTCGGTCCTGTATTGCTATCCCCAGATCTCCAATGTCCAACACTGATTCCCGAGCTATGATGTCTGGGAAAGTTAATTTTCATGATGTAGGAATGGCGTCCCACGTTTTGTATTAGCTACTGAAAGAACTGTCAACTATCATTTTATGATTAAATTTTGCTCTCATCAAAATATCCTCCTTTTGCCTTGATTACTGCAGCACAAATTTTTGGCATTCATTGCAAAAGTTTCTTAAAGTATAAGTTTGATAATTGAATCCATTTTTTTTTTAAAATGATTCTAAGAGCTCTTTTACATTTTTATTTCCATTCTTCTGTCAAGTTCATCCCATGCTAATTCTGGGGGTAACTTCAAACTTTTGAACTGTAGTGTAAATTAAATCAAAACTTGAACTGAAGATATAATTATTCGATGAAATGAAAATTATAATAAATTTGTTGCATAAGCATATGTCGTAAATTGTAGGTGAAACACAAATAAAATAATAGAGAGAAGTCTTATTCATCAAAAAATGCCCACAATATATTTCCATGAATAGAAAAATATTACATTAGCTAAACTCATAATTACAGGACTGAAAGAGTAATGTCTGTCTACAAAACTCAAGTCTAGATGCTGAAGGTAACATCAATCAGCTAAGTGACAAATTTTATATTTATATTAATCCTATATATCATCAAAACATACTTTCATTCATTAAGTGGAGTGGCAGGACACCTTGAAGTAGACAAAGCAATGTTTACCTCCCACAACAATCAAGCTACAACTGTGCCACACTATATGCTACACACCCTCATTGAAACAGGAGGGTAGTTGGAAGTAGCAAAAGAAACACGTTGTCACCTTGAAATTATAAATACATTAAAAATTTGGGGATAACAGAACACCCCGTGTGACTAACGCTGGGTTAATATTCCCCGTTGAAAAAGGTCTTATATACCATTAAATAAATTATCAATAAAGATGAAGTCATTAAAATAATTGAAGTGTACTTACATGAGACACCATACGTCATTAGAATTACTTCAGCTGAACATGCTAGCAATGACCGGTGGAAATTGTCCGTATGTAAAAAGCCTGTAGAAAAGTTCTTACCCAAGCGACGTTGTTCCTACAATTAAAGAACATGGCAGAGTAAGAAAATATGAGAACAACACTTAAATGGATCAACTAAAAACAAAAGAGCAAACTTTTATAAATGAAGGCTATTCTAACCTGAACTGTATTCTCTTTAAATTTGAATAATTCCAACACTAAACTCATATCTTCCTGGCATCAGTTTAAACTGACATTCTTTTTTCCGTATATTATGACCATTTTGTTTAAAGTTTATTTTTTTTATTTTTACAGATACAGTACAGATAACTCCTTACAAAGTCAGGGATCAATTTGACACCGTTTTTTATATCATAAACAGGATCCCCTTGTAAAATGATTAAAAAAAAAAAAAAAATCAATATTTTTTAGTTCTGACAAGTATTGTGCAAATCAAGCTCTAATGACTGCTAATCTACAAAAAATTTTTCCTTTTTTTTTTTTGAGCAAACCACTTAATTTAAATAGTAGCTCAATTTATCAATCAATTTGTTGTCATAGAAAGACAATAAAACATCACAATTCAAACACTATCATTCAATGATTGTCTACGCTGGCAGAATAAAACATTTTGTTCTAGTGAACAATGTCACATGGAAAATATTCATGAAATTTCAAAAAGGATGGAAGGTTATATTTTTTTTTTACAGATATTTCCAAAGACCAACTTTATTATCGATGTATTTTAAGCCAAGATACTTAGAGATGACTTCAGTGTACGGGAATATAATTTCCATAATATGTTTCAGTTAAATTTTCTTTCAAAAATTATATCTATATATATATATATATATATATATATATATATATATATATATATATATATATATATATATATATACACATATATATATATATATATATATATATATAATATAAATAAGTTTAAAACTGACAGATTTTTTAATTTATTTCTTTAAATGTTATTTTTAAATGGATATTCATATTTGAGTAGATGCTCTGTTTTTATTTATTTATTAAACAGTATATTTTATTTACATCTGCTGGTCTGAACATTTGGAGAAATCATGTTAGAAAAATATGCATCCTCTGGCAGGATTCAAACCTGTGTCATCTAGGGAAGGTGTATCAACATGTACATTAGGTAGTATACGCTCAAATGCACTACTAAACAAATATTATATTATATATATAAATAAAATTATAGTTTATATATATGAAGAGAAAAAAGGCATCAGTTTAAAGCTGTAGAAAAGTACTTGACCAAGTGAAGTTGCTTGTACAATCAAACAGGATATATTCAGAAAATGAGGACAACACATAAATGTATTATATATTAACCAAATTATATTTTGTTAATTATATATATATATATATATATATATATATATATATATATTGCACATAGATTACTGGTGTTAATAAAATAGTGCTCAATGTTATATAAGAGCTATTAAATATATATTAATAAATATACATATCATCTCTCACGAGGAGCACAACTCATGCACAATGCTCTCTCTCTCTCTCTCTATATATATATATATATATATATATATATATGGGCATATAACCAAGTGGTTAGAACATTCGCATTCTGACTATGAGTCCTGGGTTTGAATCTCACCCTGGTCAAATTGTCCGGATGGAGACTTCCTGATGTTATCGAAATAGAGGGGGTTGATCCCAGCATGCGGCACCTTTGGAAAGGTGCCTGAAAACCATACCACGGGTTGACCCAAGCCTTGTGAGTGAAATTGGATAGACAGAACCCTTGGGGGCTGTCAATAACTGTGCTAGCACAAAGTCACAAGTCATTGTGAGCATACTGGCCTTGTTCAAATTGTCGATCACTCTAGATAACAGAACAGACTCTTTCCCAGAAACTGTAACTAAGGTCTGCTCAGCATGGTTGCAGTATAAACCACAGGTGGGCTCTGTGGGTGTTGAGCAAACACAAATGTGCCTGAGCAAGCGTCTGCAATAGGGATTGGCTAGCTGCTCTAGTAGACTGGTATCCTTGAATATGAGTGGCAACACACACACACACAAAATAAGAAAGACAAAATAGCAAACTTTTTTTCAATATCATAAAACAACTGAGTCTCTGTCCATCATACACTGTGTAACTGTGTATGTATGTAATACATATGTGCCTTGTTCCAGATTGACTTACATGTACTATTTAATGTATACAAGCACACACATCACATATACACACAAAATTTGACAAAATTTGAAATAAGACAGAGGAATAATACATTCCCCTCTTACTCAGTCTGGACAATCCATACTCTGGCCTGAGCAATAAAATCAAAGTTGGGGACAAAAAAAAACAAAAATTATAATAAAAATTATAAGAGTTTTTGAAATTTTCTTTTTCCTAAATTTTATGAACATTTTTAGGTCTGTCACAGAATTAAAATATGCATGTGCACATGCAAATGTACATGCACCCACAATTTGAATGAAATTTAAATGGACATGTGTGTTGTAATTTCCCTGTCTGGCAATAACCCCTGGATAATAGGAAAAGAGTACAAGGCCAAATATGCAACCCTTTGAAGCTATCTTTTTTATTCTTTCTGTATTTAAACAATCTATTTTTGAATAAATGCATTTTTAAATGGACAAACAATTAAGATTTGAAATTTATCATCTTGTTGCCAGCAAAGTGACAGGTATTGAATGGGTAAATTAAAAATAAAACATGATAGACAAGTGTCTGTTGTGGAGATGAACACACCTCTCTCCAGAAGAGGACTTGGACTTGTCCAAATACATATAGACTTACACTGAGAATTGTCAGAAGAAGGAGAGAAAGAGTGAGAGAGATCTTATAGAGAGCTAGCTTATCTGCTTACAACTAATTTCAGCAAGACTACATTGACTCCAAGCAATATTCTACTTCTTGACTGTGTCATATTCATTCAATGGAATGAAGACGTAACAGTGTCATTCTTGCTTGAATTTTCTTCAAGCAAAGCCAAAACAAAAATAAAAAGATTTAAATGCTGAATATATTTAAAACCTGTTGTATTGTGAAATGGACTTGTCTCTTTCTGGTTGTGTAGTAAAATAAACTCTTCTATTGTTTATAAGCTGTGATGCTAACGAGTTTTTTTAAGTTTATTTTATTACTTGTAACACATATATCCAGCTGTCTGTCTATATCTGAGACTAAAATAGTTCCATTGCAAAATATGAAATTATAGAAGTGATGACAAGCTTTAAAAAAAAAAATATGGAGGACTTTAAAACTGATTCAGCAACAAACTCCTCTTACAAATAATTTTGGGTAAAATGGCTGAACAAATTACAATTTCCATTTCCCCAGGCAGTGTGCCAAATTCCACTGCAATAGAAGCGATAACTGGTTCTCACATTTTTTTTTCTTTTTATCTTTTCTTTCATATTAAACTAACATTAGTTGTTTCCCTTTTGTCAACTTCTTAATTATGCCCATTCTGTTGTAATTAAATTTTGTACCTCCAACAAGATATTCAGTCCTATTAAGTCAGTAAAATTTCCCTGTCTTCAATAAAAAAAATGCTTGAGTAACTTGTTACATTTGTCCTATAATAGAAGCTTAACTGTAAACTCAGATCTGTGTTCTATAAAAAAACAAAAACTTGTTAATATGTCTATAATTCTCTGCTGCATCAGCATTCTTTTGTACTGAATACAAGTGCCATCAGGATTAAATTATTCCTTTCACTTTTCCTCTCTGGCATTGTGCTTACTCAACTAAGTTTCACTATGGCACAACTATTGAGTTCCACATTTGTTAAACTTGTGTAAAAATTCACAATGAAATATTTATTCAAACTGGCATGCTTATTTTTTATAAGTTGAAAACTTCCCATCAACTTTAATGTACAAATATGTTTAATGATGTTTTATCAAATAATGAAAATAAATTTTTAAAAAATTTTTTTGTATAGTTAGTTTTATTAATTTAATTGTGTAATAAATATGGTCACCTTGAAATGGAGGTTAATAAGTTAAACTAGCAAAAGCGTTACTATTCACAGGATGTCTCATATTTGAGACCTTATGCCAGACAAAGCTAAACTTAGTAAATACAAACATACATACAGATTATTTGAGTGTCTTGCAGTGTGTAGGTGGGGATAATGGTTGTTGAGTATCAAAAACCATTCTGTCATCGGTTTAATCTTTGAAAGATTCATGCTTGCTGCCTTGTGCAAGAACCTTAGTAAATACTAAGTATGTGAACAACCCATAAAGACAAAACTATATATATATATATATATATATATATATATATATATATATATATATATATATATATATATATATATGTATGTATGTATGTATGTGCACACATATACACACAAGAAAATGGCAAAAGACCATGTGGAGACCCATGTTGTCAATTCATGGATCAGCTTAAAAATACCTTGCTGAGGACAGAAATTGTTCCAGTCAATTGGGAGAAAGAAGCTGCAGAAAGAACCAATTGCTGGAGAACAATTGACAAAAAACAACATCCTTTGAAAACACCAGAAAGCAAATAGGAGAAACAAAGAGACCTCACCAAACCCCAAAAAAGGAGCTATCCATCCCCTATTCCCACCTAACCAACCATGTGGTAGCTACAGGCATCTCTTCAGATACAACATAGGACTCATTTACACAAAAGTAATTGATGATGAGCATTCCAATACTCAGCAATGAGTTCTGCCAATAACAATATATGCTCAAAATAACATTACAAATTAAGATATTGGGAAAAAAGATAACATTAGTAGTACTGAGTTATCAAGGACTTAAGCAGTTTCAAACTTAAAATTTGTAAATAAAAATAAAGTACAGATAACTCCTTACAAAGTCACAGATTGATTTGACACTGTTTTTATATCATAAACAGGATCCCCTTCTAAAATGATAAAAAAAAATATTTAAAAAAATAAAATAAAAATCAATATTTTTCAATTTTGACAAATATTGTGTAGATGAAGCTCTAACAAATGCTAATCCACAAAAAATTCTTCCCTGTTTTTTTTTGTTTTTTTTATGAGCAGACCAGTTAATTTAAATAGTGGGTCAATTTGTCAACCAAGATTGTTCTTGTTACCATAGCAGAACAACAAAACATCACAATTCAAACACCATCATTCGATGATTGCCTACACTGACAGAATAAAACATTTTGTTCTAGTGAACAATGTCACATGCAAAATATTCATGAAATTTCAAAAAGGATGGAAGGTTGTATTTTTTTTACAGATATTTCCAAAGACCAACTTTATTATCAATGTATTTTAAACCAAGATACTTACAGATATAAGTAAAGACTTCAGTGTACGGAAATATAATTTCACTATGAGCTGGTATCTTTGTTGTGCCAACTTTTGTATGAATGGCTGTTCTCCACCAAAGGCCAAGAAACGTTGAACAAATGCGATCTCACAGTTTCTGATTCGCCCACAGATTATATCTGATGGGTTTGGGTTGCATTTCTATGAAAAATTAAAAATTTACAGAGGAAGACATTTTAAAAAGCATAAATAAGAAAAATGATTTCAAAACAATTATGCAATTTTTAATCTTATAAATATAGTGAGCAAAAATAGGAGAATGATCAAATAAAAATTACAAATCAAATTTTATTTCTGCCAATAAAAATTCATTTAAAAAGTTATTAATGAACTTCAATAATTTAGCTGAACAGTGGGCCATAGAGAAAATGATTAAATTTTGTGGTGGATCCACAATTTTATCTTTTTCTTAAAGATTGAGGAATATTCTATACAAGACAATAGTCTAAATCCGTAATTCCCAAAGTGGGGCACATGTAACACAGGGAGCAATTCAAGAATGAGTTATTAACAGTGAATTTTTTTCTATTGAGTCTGTGTGTGAGTTAATACATACATGCATATATAGTATGCATACATAAAAATATTTATGTGTATGTACATGTGTAATTATGTATGCACTGTATATAATATATATATTTATTAGTAACACAATATTTTTATAAATATTGTAAAATTCTAAAATTAAATGATAATACTTATTGCATCCATGTAGTCTCAAGTTCTTAAGAAAAGTGAAGTTAATGAATAGCCTTTTAGGCTTCCTCCACGTGAAGAGGAGTTCACTTTTTGAATAATAAGGTCACAGTGGGGAGTAATAGATGCTTAGGTGAGATATGGGAAAAAATGTTGGGAAACACTGGTCTAAATATACGAAGAGGGAGAAAAAAAAAGTTACCTCCCCTTCATCGCATCTATCTATGACTAGATTTCCACTTGATTTTTATTGAAAGTATGTTCAAAATGCTTTTTCATTTTAGGTTATATATACATTTAAACTTTATTTTAAATCTCAAAGGATTCAATCCTACGTGAGAGAGAGAAAAAGAAATGAAACAAGATACAATAATTAAAAATAATTATATTGGTTTTATCATTTAACAGATGACAGAAAGTTGTGTGGAACAACAATCACTCACAACATAAAATTTTTATTTAGTGACTAAATTCAACTTCCTTAAATATTATTGATTTAAAACATCTAATTCACATGGACATCTGTCATACAATAAGTAGCAACCAGTGTTATTCATACTAGATGAACAACTTGTGCCAGCTTAGTCTAGCACAAGGACATTTTTCAGCACTGACAGTAAACTTATCTGCCAAACAATTCAATGGTTCACAGCATTTGATCTTTGCTGAGTGAAGTAATACACTGGCCTTGTACTAAACTCAGATTAGTAATTATCTACACTGCATCTCTTAAATATAGGAACAAGTGGTCTAATGATTAACCTGTGAAGTGAATATAACGAATCCAACTGGAATTGGAACTCAACTCTGATTAGTCATTCTGAGCCACTATCCATTACACCAAACATCCACTATATTGACCAAAAAGAATGTAAATTTACATATCTATTTTTTTTTATGAGACAACCACTTTCCAATACTTTTTCTATTATTGTGAAAGAGTTTAAGGGGAAAAAAGATTTACCTGGAAATCCCATGTCCACTTTCATAATCTTACCTGAAAAAATTCTTTAAGAACATCATCTGGTTTATCTGGTTGTTCCATCAACAAATTCATGAGTTGTTCAACTTTTGTTACTGCAGTACTGAAAATAATGAAAACAAAAAGTAATTTCTGATTAAATGCACCAGAACAGTGCATTGGAGTGGAGAAGGAATAAGCAAAAAAGAAAAAAGAATAAAGGAATAAGCAAAAAAAGAAAAGAAAAGAATAAAGGAATAAGCAAAAAAAGAAAAGAAAAGAATAAAGGAATAAGCAAAAAAAGAAAAGAAAAGAATAAAGGAATAAGCAAAAAAAGAAAAGAAAAGAATAAAGGAATAAGCAAAAAAAGAAAAGAAAAGAATAAAGGAATAAGCAAAAAAAGAAAAGAATAAAAAATAATTTGATCTTAAAAATTAAAATAATTTATTTTAATTGGTATACTATCAGTCTTATCAGTGCAACTTGTCCTGAGGTTGCTTAATCTGAAGGGTGACAGGAGAAGGAAAAAAAGAGTTCAGAGTTCAAACTTAGCAAACTAAGAATGCACAAAAAGTGTTTACTAAAAAATCCCATACAGCCACATGAAGTTGGTATCTTCCAGTGCAAAAGTGACCAAAGTTTTCTTCAAACCCAACTGCTGCCATAAGAAAAACTGGACCTTTCAGACAATCAAAACATCAGATAAGAACTGATACTATTGATATTCTTATTCTGCTTGTTTGCATGTACAACCATTATGCTTTTCCACCTAGAATCAGAGTGCAGTATCTATTTCGGTACCAGTTCTTCTGAGTTGGAATAACACTTTCAGCAAGAAACCTACATAATATTGAGAAATAATTGGGAAAAGTGGATGTGAAAGTGGGTGTAATGGAAAAGGAGCAAAGAATAAGGTGGGAGGAGGAAGGGAAAGAAGAGAGAGATAACGAGGGAGAAAAAGGAGTAGGGAGAGATAATATGGAGTAGGGAGAGATAATAAAGGAGAAAAAGGAGGAGGGGGAGGTAAGGTGACACAAAAGGAGGAGGGGAGGTAAGGTGACACAAAAGGAGGGGGGAGGTAAGGCGACACAAAAGGAGGGGGAGGGGAGGTAAGGCGACACAAAAGGAGGAGGGGGAGGTAAGACGTGACAAGAGGAGATAAAACTAGAAAAGAAAACCAAGTGAAAGGAAAAATACACAACTCACTGTTTATGAGAATATTTTAAGCCAGTTTCCAAATTTTGACATGTGTAATGTGGCTGTTTCTTTTAATGTACACTAATTATATTGTTCAAACTGTTGTCCTCATCTTTGTCATATTCATGTTTCAGCCACAGTGAGCTCTGGCCTTCAAGTGATTGGAATTTTGAACCAAACTCTTTATTTTGTTCATCAGGGTAGATTGTTCTAGTTCCATGTGTCATGCCTCATCTGGATATTTCAGTATCAGTTATTTTCAACACTCCAAGTTATTGTTCACCTCTGCTGAAGCAAATTATAGAAATCACAACCCTTTGGGTCAAGTCACTGGATTACTTTAACCAACATTTTATCCACTGGGCCATGTGACTTTACCCAAAGATTTATATGTTCAATACCAAATTTGTCTTTAATTTGAATTATAAGACTTGGATCTATGTTAATGAACATTGTATTAAACCTGCATTAGTCATATGGAATGTTTTGTTACCCAAAAATTTTTAAAGTACTAATATCTAGTTGGCAACTCATTTCTTTTGCTCTCTCCCACTACTCTTCTGACTCACTGAGGGTGTGCAGCATGTCATGTGGTGCAGTTGTAGCTCAGTTCGCATGGGAGGCAAATATCACTTTATCTTCTTCGGGGTGTCCTGTCACCCTCACCTGACTAACAAAGGTAATTTTTCATGATATTATAAATGATAAAATATAGTTTTTAGGTATTAAATATTTATGGGATTAAACTGCTCAATATCAGGGATAGATGTATGTAAATATAAAAGTGGATATTGAAGTCAACAGCCAGCAGCAACAGTCTATCCCATGATTTTACGCAATAGTCATGACGGCTGCAGCTAATCATGAAAGACTGTCGCTGCTGGGTGTTGACTTCAATATCCACTTATATATAATGTGTGTGTATACACACACACACACAAATATATATATATATATATATATATATATATTGATGCAAGTTTCATTTGTGTAAACACCCCAAATGACTATCCATTTTCAGAAATCCAAGGTGATTAACACAGAGTTAATAAACATTCAAAGTGTGTATACATTTTTTGGGATAACTGATAAATTTCAAAACCAGTCTTCCATACCAGAATCAATTCTTTATCTTCCTATTTAATATTCATATAAACAAGAACAAAAAATCTTGCAAGGCAAACCAAAATTGTGTTATAGAAAAGCACACTTACCTGACTGGAGTAAGGGGAGCAAGTCTGTGAGGTGAACTGTTTGAGTTATCCTTAGGACTGAATAGGAAAAATAAATATGAAAAGCTGATGACAATAAAAATAATTAAAAATAATAATAATAAAAAACAAAACAATGAATTCCCTAATATTAATCAGTTACATTGCAAACCATTTACAGTATAAGAGTGTGCCAAAAAGCTTTAGGACCTGACCAATTAGGAATTAAAAAGAAAATTTTGTTATTTAGTCAACAGCTCAGATTTGGGGAATTTTTCAGCATACATTCAATGAATATTCCAAAGCAATTTTATGTACAAGGTGGTCCAAAATTATTGTAATTGCTGTATAATATAATTTTCTATTTCAGATGGCTGACATGAGATCCTACAGATCTTCCAGATGTGTGACAGCATCAATGAAAGTGAATAAACTGAATCCAGTACATGTGATTTGTCTTAGTGTATTATTTGTTCTTATTGTTCTTGTTACTTTTTGTGGTGTGACATAACTTTCGGACCACCATGTACTTTCATTATTATTTTATTACTAGAGCTATGAATACTATATTGGAGTTTTACATTGATAGTATCTAATGGTTTGTACCAGAGATTAAGTGACAGCAAGTCTCTTCAGTACTCCAGAACTCTTAGTATTCTACCTGTTTTCAATAATGCCATCATTTTTGTTTCATTTTGTTTGTTTGACAGCATGTCAACTCTTTATGAGTCATTTAATGCTGAAATTTAATTTTCTTGGGAGCTTTGAAGTAATAAAAACATGTCATTCTGCTTTCACAATTGAATACGTGGTAGATGATACTCAGCTTTTGTGCACATACATGTTCGCGTGGACATAATTACTAGAGGAGGTGATATGTGTTTCATGTTGTAGTTTTGTTGCAGTTATATTTTGGAATAGAGTCTGATTTAAGGAATTGTAGCATATCATATGGATTAATGTCATGAAAGAGTTCTTTTATGTTGGTTGTTCGGTTTTGTTTAGCGGTATATCAACCTCTATGGGTTGTATTCCAAAATCTAAATATTTTGAACACAATTGTATACATTCAATTACAAATAAAATGTGTTGTGGTTAATTTTTGCTTTTTTTTTTTTTTTTTTTTTTTAATAGAAAAATGTATTTTTATACTTTCATCATATTTTACTTTTCTTTGAAGGGTTCCCTATTTGCCCATAGCTGGGACCCTAACAGGTGCTACCACCCCCCAGGTCGGGGTAGACCTAGGAACAACAACAATTAATTTCACACTCCTCAAAATCTCCAATCAGAGGCCTTGCTGCTGGAAGGAGTTTATCATCATTGCCATCATCTGGATGCTTTCAACTCATTAAATATTTGTATCAATAATAACGGATGGTTTACACTGGAGATTAAGTGACAGCAAGTTTCCTCAATACTTCACGAGGAGTTTTTTTTTTTTTTTTTTGTAATTTTATCATCAGAATGGTATTAACGTTTCTTCTAGATTTCACTTTCTCCAATCTTTTTTCTAAGTTCTGAGACTGTTGCCTGTGCTCTAACAATAACTAGCACAACTGTTAACCCTCTGTTCCACAACTTCCTTAGCTTTTAGGCAAGTTCAAGAAACTTTTGTTGAGACTTATTCTACAGTCCACAGCAACAGTGGCATCCACCATCTGACATATTTCCTTGTTTACTAATGCTAAATGAAATCTCCTTATCTGGACAAGGTGATTCCTGTAACACAAAGCTCCAAAGGGTATTATGTGCCATTATCTAGAACAGATTCTGATCATTGCATATACCATTGGTCTACATTGTCAAAATATAGCCACTTTAACATTTCTCAGTATCTGTCTATATTTCTGAGATGAGGTATTATGTACACTATTTATGCTAGGCCGCAAAAATCTTCTGAGCCGACCAAGCATAGAAATGAATACAATATGGGAACCAGTAATAAGGAGTGCCAGAGAAAAGCGATAATAACAACAAAAATTGCAATATGAGCTCTGGTAAAAAACATGTATTAATAACAGCAAAAAATTGCAATATGAGCACTGTTAAAAAATGATTTCTGAAGATATTAGGTTTATAATACCCAGAAATTCATACACAGATGTCCTCAAGGACACATGGCACAGTGGATAAAGGCATTAGTTAGATCCAGTGACAGGACCCAAAGAGTGTGAGTTCAATAGAATTTGGAGAGGGAACTTAACAGAAGATAACTAATAACTGACATCCATTAGACATGGCACGTAGAACTAGAACAGTCTACCTCAGTGAGCGAAATAAAGGGTTCCGTTCGACATGCCAACCACCTGAAGAAGGCCGGAGCATACAACAGCCGAGACATTGTAATAAATATGGCGACAAAGATGAGAACAATAGTCTGAACAATGTAAATAGTGTTCACATTTCTCAGTGAATTGCCTTCCCTACTTGGATATGCTTAGTCTTGTATTTTTTCTGGGTCAATTAGTTGCATTCACCAATTATGCATCTACATTTACCTACATTTTCTTTTCTTTATCATGACAGTTGGTTCTTGTTTTTGTTATTGTTTGCTTAGTTTTCTTCCATTTTCTTATAGCTGCTATTTAGATGAAACATTTTTACTATTATTTCTTTTTTATTACTTTTACCCTGTCTTATGTTTCTATATACAAAGTGAGATATGGACCCTGTATTCCTGTCAAGAATACAGACTCAATGTCTTTCTACAAAGTCTCAGATGAATCCTGAGCAACATTATGCAAGATAATGCCCCAAATAAGAATTTACTGCAACAGGTGGGAATACCAAGAAAGTTTGCATTGTTTACTAAGTCACACCCCATAAAAAAAGAATCCCCATGATACAACTCAGCCCAGATCTTTTGTTGACAGTTGATATGTAAGAGGAAGTAGAATGCATAAGAAAAGGCATACTGATGTGGCTCTCTTTTATTAGAGAAAAGAGAGCCACATCAGTATAGAAGAGAGAAAGAGAGAAGAGAAAAAAAGAAAAGAAAAGAAAAACTGCTTTCTATAATCTATATAATAAATGTAAATGTCAGTGTACCACACTTTCTCAACTTTATTTCTAGAGGCTATAGCCCAACATATACTATTTTGGAATCAGGCCAACTCTGTGAGCAAATTAAAAACATTCCACAATCCTGAAATTTTGGATTCTCAAGCTTTCTTTACTGCAATTGTTTTTGGTGATTTTTTTGTGACAAATTTTTTTGTATGATAACAATTTTTATAACATGGAAATAAATCTGGGAATAATTGAAATTAATTGCAAAATCCAGTGGAAGTCACCTAGGAAATAAAAATAATTGTTTGTACAGAAAGTAAGGATCTACATACATCAAATTGTCTATGTTGTAGCAGAAGAATGATTAGTGAACTTTTAAAAGGTAAGCTTAAATATTGATGCAATACTTAAATACAATGATCAATTTTGAGTTCTTCTGTAGTTTGTTGTTGCCTATCGCATCTTCTCGTCCCTACCTATTGTGATGAAGGCCCAATCAAGAGCACTTTGCAGGAGCTAGTTTAAATGCCGTTTAATAGGGCAGCTTTTAAGCTCGTATTAAATATAGATTATTTAGGGTTTAATTAAACAAACTACTTTCAGTTAGATTTGAACACATCCTCACCAAAATGAAAAGTGAACCCTTGTTCAGAGATAAACTGGAGTATATTAATATTTAAAGAATTTTGAAAAATATTTTCATTCAATTGCCATATAAAAAAAAAAATCAATGCAAATGAGATACTCACTGATATGCTGGTTTCTCTTTATCGTTTGACTGTAAAGGAATTAAGATGGGGTTATGATCCAAAAAGAAGAGCTCATTAATATTTCCTTCTCTCTTGTATGTTTCAAGATACATGCCAGTAAGTTTCTCGACCTAAGAGGTTTTGAGAAAAAAAAAAAAAAAAATACAAATAAGAAATAATCAAAAATATAAAAATGAACAACATAGATAATAAAAACAATGTGCATTTCTCTGTCTATCCATTTATTTTTATAAACTTTTCCATATTTCCAAATTAGTAGAATAAACTACAATTCACACACACAGGAATAGACTACAATTCACACAGGAATAGACTACAATTCACACACACACACACACACACAGGAATAGACTACAATTCACTCACACACACAGGAATAGACTACAATTCACTCACACACACAGTAAAATAAACTACAATTCACTCACACACACAGTAAAATAAACTACAATTCACACACACACACAGTAAAATAAACTACAATTCACACACACACACACAGTAAAATAAACTACAATTCACACACACACACACACACACAGTAAAATAAACTACAATTCACACACAAACAGGAATAAACTACAATAGACACGTGTACACAGATAATAAATTGGGATTCACACACACAGAGGAATAAACTACAATTCACACATGCACAGAGGAATAAACTATAATTTACATGCACACATAAGAATAAACTACAATTTACATACCCACACACAAACACTAAGAGGGATAAACTACAATTCTCTCTCATATACTCACATGTACACATTTAGGAATGAACTGAAATTTACACATACACGCAGACAAAGAAATAAAGTACAACACACACACACGCTGGAATAAAGTACAACACACACACACACACACACACACGCTGGAATAAAGTACAATACACACGCACACTGGGATAAAGTACAACACACACACACACCAGAATAAAGTAAAACACACACACCAGAATAAAGTAAAACACACACACCAGAATAAAGTACAAAACACACACACACACACAGGAATAAAGTACAACACACACACAGGAGTAAAGTACAACACACACACAGGAATAAAGTACAACACACACACACACACACAGACAGGAATAAAGTACAACATACACACACACACACACACACACACACAGTGTAATAAACTACAATTCACACACACACACACACACCGGAATAAAGTACAACACACACGCACACAGGGATAAAGTACAACACACACGCAGAGGAATAAAGTACAACACACACACCAGAATAAAGTACAACACACACGCATACACACAGTGTAATAAACTACAATTCACACACACAGTGTAATAAACTACAATTCACACACACAGTGTAATAAACTACAATTCACACACACAGTGTAATAAACTACAATTCACACACACAGTAAATAATAAACTACAATTCACACACACACAGTGTAATAAACTACAATTCACACACACACACACACACAGTGTAATAAACTACAATTCACACACACACACACAGTGTAATAAACTACAATTCTCACACACACAGTGTAATAAACTACAATTCTCACACACACACACAGTGTAATAAACTACAATTCACAAACACATGTGACACACACAAATAGGAATAAACTGTAATTCACGCACACAAACAAAAGAATAAACAATTCACATACACACAAGAATAACCAACAATTCACACACACAGACAAGAATAAACAATTCACACACAAGAATAAACTACAATTTTCACACACAAGAATAAACTACAATTTTCACACACAAGAATAAACTACAATTTTCACACACAAGAATAAACTACAATTTTCACACACAAGAATAAACTACAATTTTCACACACAATAAACAATTTACACACATATGCAGAGGAATAATCTACAATTTTCACACACACGTGCACTCAGAGGATTGAACTGCAATTCACGCACATGCACACACAGAGGAAAAAATTACAATACACACACACACAGAGGAAAAAACAATACACATACACACAGACAGGAAAAAATTACAATATACACACACACACACACACAGAGGAAAAAACTGCAATACAACCAGAGGAAAAAACTACAACACACACACACACACACACACAGAGGAAAAAACTCCAAATCACACACACACATACACAGAGGAAAAAACTACAAATCACATATACACATACACAGAGGAAAAAACAATACGCACACACACATGCAGAGGAAAAAACAATACGCACACACACATACAGAGGAAAAAACTACAATACACACACACACACACACACACAGAGGAAAAAACTACAATACACACACACACACACACACACACAGGAAAAAACTACAATACACACACAGAGGAAAAAACTACAATACACACACACAGAGGAAAAAACTACAATACACACACACAGAGAAAAAACTACACACACACACACACACACACACACACACAAAAAAACTACAATACACACACACACAGAGGAAAAAACTACAATACACACACACACACACAGAGGAAAAAACTACAATACACACACACACAGAGGAAAAAACTACAATACACACACACACAGAGGAAAAAACTACAATACACACACACACAGAGGAAAAAACTACAATACACACACACACAGAGGAAAAAACTACAATACACACACACACAGAGGAAAAAACTACAATACACACACACACAGAGGAAAAAACTACAATACACACACACACACACACACACAGATATAAAACCTCAGACAAATGCATTATCAATAATTCACACATACACAATGGAATGAACAAAGAGACAGTGCACACCCAGGAAGGTATTGGTGTTCATTAATTATCTTACTTACTTCACCAATCTTGATAAGTATAAAGATATATATATTTCCTTTTCTGTTACATCTACTTGCCTCATCGGTGTCTAATTTGGAAATGATGTCTAAAACAAATGATGGGATTATGCACATCTCACTCAATAGAGCCTCTGTTCTAGGAGGAAAATCAGGTATGGATACTCCAGATGAGTCAAGTGTGGAATTGGAAGTGAACTTCCAAGCAAAGCACTTAACCTTATCTGCTGTAGATGTCAAAATTTCAAATTGATTGAAGAGAAGAGGGACTGAGGATTTGCTGTTGTTCAGTAGACTCTTGCAGAGGCACTAAGAATCTCTATAACAGAACTTGTGAGAGGCTATACATTGTTTCATTCTACCAGTAGACAGTAACTTTGCTTCTTAGAGAACAAGCTGGCGTTCATTATGAGCAGAGACAAAGAGACATCTGTTACAATTAGACCTGTCGCTCTGGTATAGCCAGAAGAAGTGATTCATGTAGGTTAGCAGCTGAGCATGCAGGTGAGTAACAAGATGGTCATGGTTTCACTTAGTATTTCAGAGCTGGAATGATAGCTTCGCTACTGGCTTTCACCAAGGATGAGACCTCAGAGATATATTTTTGAACAGGATGATTAAAAACTTAATTCCAAGCGACATCACGAAGGAAGTCACAGAATGAGTCCCAATCAGCGCATTGATAACAGAAAAATATTCTGTTGGTAGGAGGTTCTTGGCTGATGGGAGAGCAACCCAATGTTAAGACTGTGGTCACCAATAATGAATCCTGGGAGGAATTCTAATTCTATCAGAATTAACTCACTGTAAAGGTTGAATAAATCTGGTGAGAAGACACATCCTTGTCATATACCCATTTCTATTTTTGTATATTCCACTTCCTGTTTTAAATTTCCAAAGTTTTTGTAAAAAGTCCCAACATTTCATATCCTGACTGTAATTTTATCTTTGCTATAAAATTTTTTATTATTATTATTTTTTACTGTTGACTCATTATTATCAAGTTAGGGAGATTATTTTTCTTCTGATGTCAATTTAAAATTAAAAAAAAAAAAAAAAAATGTGTTCCCAGGTTTTCTATTGTCTCAACAATAGACTAGGGGATTGAAGGATTGGTCAGTGAAATTGGTGATATACAAGTTCAATCCCGAGTTAGACCAAATAATACAGACATCACTTAATCTGTGAAGAGATTGTCCAGCATTCACTGGCATATAGGAGGACCTATATTACATGATAATTAAGCATTCTTTACTTTGTTTCTAGTGAGATTTTTTTTGTTTCTTAATACTTTGCTTAACTTTTGAAAGGTATCTTTTACTATCCCAATGACTCAGTAGAAACAAGGCAAGCAACATGTGAGCTGTATTAAATAAGAACAAGGTGAGATATCCCTAGACATGAACAACAGAAAGAAAAAAAAATTACCTACATAGATTAAATAAAGGGTTTGTTTCAAAATTCCCTGATTGACAGACACTTGAAGAAGGCTGGAGAGCACAATGGTCAAAACATTGTGATTATAGCAACAAAAAGTCTGAATGTAAATAGTGAACAAATTGTCCAAAGTAAGAGAAAGAGGCAATACTTACATCCAAATGAACATTTTCAACCTTAAGAACATTTCCAACAACCTGTTCCACTGCTTCCTTTGCAGGTTTGAGCTGAAAAAAAAAAAAAAAAAGCATTAGTCTCTAGTTATATGAAAGAATAATTCTAAATTCTCAGGCTGGTTGGGATTAAAGTCTAGCAGGGATTAAAAAAAAAAAAAAAAAAAAACCTTTTGGTGTTTAGTTAGATATTGGTAAATGGTCCAAACTGATAACTTTTCAGCACTTCACAATCCTGCGTAACAAGATAAAATATTAAAAGCATCATTTTTAATGTTGGAATTTATACATTATTTTATAAATTACCCAATATATTGTACAAAGAAAAAGAACATATAAAAAAAATATAGACTTTTACGACTTCAAAATTATTTTAAATATGATATTTTTACAATGTAATACATAGTAAAAACTTCCTTAGCTCAATAACAAATTCAAAGAAAATTTACTCTATTAAATGTAGAACATGTTTCTCCAAATTATAAAATTTATTTTTCAGTTACTGAGTTAACTCATCGTACCTTCTTGGTCACATGTTTTCTGCTGACACAAAATGGAACAATTATAATGAATCAATTGATAGGCCTGTGTGACACTGAGATCTTTGGAGGTTGATCAAACAAAAAAAGAGAAAGAAAGAAGGAAGAATTGGAAAAGGAAAGAGTCTACCAACTGGATGGTAACTGTTGAAATTTGCAGGAAGATGGATTGAAAAGTTAAGAAAATTAAATATGAAATGTGTTGAAAAACCATGTTTTGAAATAATTGCAAGGAGAATCAAACCTAAATTTAACTGGACGGAATTCAGCAAGATTGAGCAAAACCAAGCCTACCTGTCCTTCCCCACTTATCGCTGATGAAAAAGAGGGCATTAAGGTATCCACAAAGATGTCAGCTAAAATGAAAACACATGTTGATAAGGATACCAGGGTGGTTGCTGAAATAACATTTATGATTCCTCTGGACAAAAGGACCAGGAAAAACAATCTTTTTTGAATCAGCCACCCAGGAGAGAAGTGCCTGCACACAGATAGAGCATTCACCATTATTATTTCTGTGATATTCACTCAGAGAAAAATTTTATATCCAAACATTAATTCGGATTCCTTTAGATAGAAGTGATAAGGAAAAATTAATTACTATTTTGAAATGTCCATGGACAAAAAGGCTATGCGGTCTGTTGATCATAAAAAATGCATAGACAGAAAAAAAAATAAACTTTTGTTTTAAGGACAGTAGAAATAATTTTTATTTCCTTTTCCAATTCTTGAGTGGTCTGGTTGATTGTGAAATCACAGCATGGGAAAAGCTGATAAAGAAAGATTAATGACTGAAGATCCCTTTTGTTTTCACTATGCCATCAGAAAGTTGAATTTGTCACACTAGCCCTAGGAGTGGGCTACTGAAAGAAGGAAGAGAGATTAGCACTACCTATATGGAGCAAGGTGACATGTGAAGGGATTTAAGGGACAGCTTGATTTCTCTGACCACTCTCAAAAGGGGGCTGGACAACTACAAATTTGGAAAATCACTTGAGTAAATGTATTTTTATATATGGAATTTTAGATTGATGTTGATGCTTAGGGTAGAAGACAAGTGAACACAAACCTTAGTCAACCCTACCCCAGCTGGACATAGGACTCCATATAAGCTGGAGATTTTTAACTCTGTGTATATACACAGAGTCCCCACACGTTTGCTGAGACTTCCTGACCAAGACCTTGTGCCAGCTCTGAAGACCAGAACTTAGAAAATTTAAGTTACTACTAAAACAAGCTTCAGACTCTGAAGGGGACCCCCAGTGTCATTTGATTATAACAAGGGGGAAGGGTTAAAACCGCTGTATACACCGGAGTTAATTCTTTATTCCAAAGAATTCTTGTTTTTTTGTGTAGCTTCCAAAGGATTGATCCGTCTTCACTCCAGGTTTGCTTCATCATTGATCTTCTCACCCTTTGGGTTCAAAAACACATGGCATATGAGTGAATGGTCATGAACAGACAAATGACAGCTAAGTCGAGTGGAACCATGCCACAAACATGATACCAGCGACAAAAACAAGTCATTTGCTAATGAGCAAAGAGTCAGCTAATTGATTACCACTGCCTAGGGCTGATGACAGGGGTACATATTTGATCCCTTTGACCATTCTCAAAAGGGGACTGAACAACCTCAAATTTGGAAAACCTGACTAAATGTATTTTTATATATGGAAATTTAGAAAAGGTTGAAAGTTAGGGCAGAAGACAACCGAACACAGACTTTAGTCAACCTCATCCCTGCTGGATGCAGGACTCCATATAACCTGGAGATTTTGGACTCAGAAACAGAGAGGGACATACTGGAATCTGAATCATTTGCTGAGACCTCCTGAACAAAGACCTTATGCCAGGCATGAACACTGTAACTTAGAAATTTAAGTTACTACTAAAACAGGCTGCAGACTCCAAAAGGGATCCCAGTGTCATTTGATTATAACAAGGGGGAAGGGTTATAACTACTGTATACAACAAATTATTGTTATGTTTTTAACCAGAGTTAATTCTTTATTCCAAAGAATTCATTTTTTTTGTGTAGCTCCCAAGGAAGTGTCTTCACTCAAAGTTTGATTCATCAGTGATCTTCTCACTGTTTGAGATAAAAAAAAAAAAAAAAAAAAAAAAACATGGCAGAGGAATGAATGGTCATAAACAGATAAATGGCAGCTAAGTCAAGTGGGACCGTGCCACCCACATGATACCAGCAACAAAACAAGTCATGTGCTAATTAATTCTCATTCTTAAGAGTTTCTTTTGTTACTGAAAGCACATAACCAGCTAGCCATTTAATTGAATTCTGATACTGCCTGAAACTAAAGAAAGTGAATATGTCCAAAACATATGATCCATTGTTTTTACATTTTAAGCACCTTTTCTGGAATAATAATTCTAGAAATCACTTAATTTAGGTACCTCCACGAGATCGCTAAAAAAAAAAAAAAGAGTATAGCATGATGAAAAAGACACCAAACTTGACGAAAACCAAATTTTATCGTCTAAATGTTTGTTATTATTAAGAGGAAAGATCAAAGTATTTTTGGGGTATTTTTTTCCATTTTTTAATCATTCCTAGCACATCCGAAATTTTCGTTAAAAATCTAGTTTTTTTTGAGTCAGCAAAATTGACAGTTTTTTCCCCATTTAAAAAAAAAAAAAAAAAAAAAAAAAATGGAAATCTCACTTTGAAATTCTTTTAAATATCAATTATCATTTTGTCAAAACTTATTTTAAGAAAATCAGAAATTATGTTTATTTAAAATATTTTGAACCAAACTTAACTTAGCTTTTTTGTGCCAAAAAAGATGTAATTTGAAAATAAAACAAAGCAGGTCATAAACTTTCGCGTCTCTTGACATGTGATGAATGATATATTCTACGAATTCCATGAGGCTAATTTGTTCTCTGAAGGAGAAAAGTGAAATAATTTACATTTACATTGAACAAATTATTTACCCGTTATTTTTAACGAAAACTTTCAGTGGTCTAATTTTTTTTTTTTTTTTTTTTTTACTTAGCTTTCACCTTTACGTTTATGATGCTTTATGGAAAATATATTGTAAAGAAATTAAAATAAGACTGTTAAGAGTGACATTAAATTTCATATTTCTTAAGAAAGGTATCTAATTAATTTATAGGTACCTTTCTTATGAAATTTTATCAGAATTGTACATAAAATACTATAATTTTATGTACATTTATTACATTCTAATGTTATTTGTATTTGCATTCATTTCATTATTAATTTTGATATTTCATTTATGGAAAAATGTCATAACTGAGATTAATATAAAAATAAGATCATATAAATTTCATAAGATGATACTGATACTTGTAGGTAACATTCTCAGTTGAAATTGAAAAATCAAATTAACTTCTCCACACGTGTTTCGCAAAAGTAAAAGCCTTAACAGCGGAGAACAATGCTTAATTCAAATTACGCAACTTAATTATATTCTGGTTGGTCTTCCGTATTTTATAATTACAGTCCGGGTATAAGCACAAAATTACATTTCTTAATTACTGGGGATCTTCTGATTAGTCAAAATGATACAATTTACAACGTGCTAAAAAAAGATCTATCTCATAAGGACACTTAGGTAAGTCGATGCGGACTTTAACTAATTTTATAACATTTTAACAACTTAAATGTAAAATCTATCATAATTGAAGAAATAACAAATAATTGTATTAAAAATTCATTTTTCATCGAAAAAAATTTTTTGCTTTCAGAAAATATTGTCCATATTCATAAAAACAACTAAAAGCAAAAAACATTTGAAATTAAATAATATCTTTGTTTTATTGAGTTTTGTATGTTACAATTCAGAGCTGATTTTCAGGTACTGCTACATGTTTAGAGATTTTTTTATAAAATAAAATCTGCAATGTTATTGGTCCTGACTTGGCATTTTTGCTTGAGTCACTTTTCCCCCCCCACTGCCTTTTCTATAAATATTTTCATGGTGATTGTTCTGAGGAGTTTCTCTCTTTAGTACCTCAACTTCATGTATATCAGCACAGTACTAGATTAGCAGTTAGGTCTCACCATTTTACTTTTGAAATTGCTAGATGCAACCCTAACAGCTGCTTCTCTAGCACTTCTTACTTGTGAAACTCTTCTGCCTTCTTGTTTTCCCATCAACTACAATCTTTAAAAATTTAAATGTAATATCAATCATCATCCATTTCCTTCAATCCTGTTCTTTTAGTGTTTCTCTCTAATTTTTTTTTTTAGATTTTTTCACTTGCATCTTAGTGGCTTTAAATTCTCTGCTTGGAGAAAAATGATTAAAAAAAAAAAAAAAAATTCAATCATAATCAAAATATATGATATCTCAAGAGATCACTGCCCTATAACAAATTCTGAAAATAATGTACCTTGAGAAACTGTCAGTAACACTTGCCTTAATTCCTAACTGACAATATCTTTTTTTTTTTTTTTATCTGGTTTTAATTGCATAACATATGGAGTGCTGAAATCTTCTAAAACAAGTTTTTAATTAAAATATTGGGAAA